ACTGAGCCACCCAGGCGCCCCTTATGCCACACTTTTAATATTAAGTCCGGAAATCTCTCTTCTAATTGGAGTGTTTTGATCATTCGTATTTAGTGTCGTTGAAATCAGTTGGATCAAAGCTACCATGATTATTTTTTATTTCCCATCTGTTTACTCTTTCTTTTTGTCACTATTCCTTTTTTAAAAAAAACTGATTTGGGGATGCCTGGGTGGCTCAGTGGGTTAAAGCCTCTGCCTTCGGCTCAGGTCATGATCTCAGGGTCCTGGGATCGAGTCCCACATCAGGCTCTCTGCTTGGCAAGGATCCTGCTTCCTCCTCTCTGCCTCTCTGCCTACTTATGATCTCTCTCTGTCAAATAAATAAATAAATAATCTTTAAAAAATATTCATTTATTTTTAAAAAAACTGATTTGATACTTTTAGTACTCTATGTATACTATTGTCCTATTAGCTTCCTTTTTTTCTTATTTATTTCCAGTGGCTTCTCTGTGGCTGACATTATGTATCTTTTTTTCTTTTTTCTTTTTCCTATTTTTTTGGTTTTTTTGTGTTTTGTTTTTTGCCATGTGCCCAGTTCTAGCAGCTATTTTATTGTTTTTCTGAAAAGTATTTATTCTGTCTTCCTTTTTGGTGGATATTCTTACTTCATTAGAAATCTAAGCAGATTAATTTTTTTGCTCCACTCCAACAATGTGGCTCCATTGGCTATTGACTTGCATGGTTTCTACTAAGAAATGAACCTGGCTTTTTGTAGAGTTGAAATAGAAACAGTCAATTGACCCAATCTGCTATCTCGTGTCTAAAATCAGAAGCATCAGCAAACTTCTGCTGGAAGTTCATGGGTCTGTGAATATTTGCAAAAGGGCACAGGGCTCAGAACTGCGTGGTTCAATCATCTGTAAATCATTTATGCATGAGAAAAGAAAGAATCAAAGCCAGTGAACTGTGGCATATTCTGATTAATGAGAGCTCTGAAATTTTAACTGGAGCAAAGAATGTGGAAGTGATAGAGGAGTCATCTGGCCAGCAGGAGGTACTCCACAGAACAGATGCAGAGGGTTCCCCTTTCAATATCACAGCCAGAAAAATCACTAAAATGTTACCATGTGTTTATGGTGAGATAACACACCTAATTTTGGTAGCCTGACTAAATACTACTCCTCACCTGAGGGTTAAGAGTGCATTTTAGCCCATAGAGTATAATCATAGAGTGCAGACCTGAAATTGTCCATGGAGATCATACTGTCATTTGTGTGCTTTACAAATAAGGAAACTTCTCAAATAAAAAAAAAAGAAAGAAAGAAAGAAGAGAAAAGAAAAAAAAAGGAGGAAACTTCTCTGTATGTGAGAGCAGAGGGAACTTTATTACCAGCATGGGCTTTTGCGTGCAATTGAAGCATCCTCACGGTTTGCATATGTGGTTTCCAGTTATCTATTATTGGGCTTCAGCTACAGTGAGCTAATGGTGTTTAGCAATAGCCATCAAATATCTTCACTCTTGTATTTACTTGTTGAGACCATGGTCTCAAATGCCTTAGAGGTTTGTCTGTACTAGTGCATCCCTTTCCACCAGTGGATTTCCTCATTCTCCAATCATGAAAGTTTGAACCCTTGGTCCACCACCTCCCCGAGCATAGGTCTCCATTCTCCTACCACCAGACTACCCAAATAAGGGGGGGTTCCATTTCCAGCGAGGAAGTGAGCCATCCAGTGTCAAAAATCTCATCTCCTTGCCCACTTTTTAGACCATTTCAGATTTTAAATGTTTGATTCTCTAGTGCATGACACTAAATTGGCATTTTGAGTGCAAGATAATCAATTAGGGATTTGTGTCTTTTTTAAAAAAGATTTTATTTATTTATTTGACAGAGATAGAGAGATCACAAGTAGGCAGAGAGGCAGGCAGAGAGAGAGGGAAGCTGTCTCCATACTGAGCAGAGAGCCCGATCCCAGGACCCTGAGATCAATACCTGAGCTGAAGGCAGAGGCTTTAACCCACTGAGCCGCCCAGGCACGCCGCGATTCATATCTTTTAAAAGAAAGAGAAAGGAAGAAAAAGGGACATGGAATTGTGATATCAGAGCAAGAAAGCCCCAGGCAACCTGGCGGAGGGCTCCAGATGGATTCTGCCTGCAAAGTTGCCCAAATCAGGTTGCAACAGCTGGGTTTTGTATCCCAACTTCATTCAGTCACTGGATACAAGGGGCCCCAGGAAGAATGTGGCCTTGTGTCGTATAGGCTTCTACAGGGAAGGTGGATTCAGAAGGAACTGACAGCTGGCAGCTGTCTACCAATCCTGCACCCCAGAGCTAGGAAGCGATTTCTTCCTTGAATGGAAGATTCGATGAAAGAACTTCACGTCTACCACAGTAATATGAAAGCAACATCATAACTCAATTAGGGTGCAGCTCATTAATACTAGAATATCACAAAGGTACCATAGAGAAGCATTGTCAGTGAGGTTTCTTGCCCCAAAGAAACACGGAATCAAATCTTATGAAAGGGAATATAATGCTTTCTGATTTTCAAACGTGGTCTATTAATCTAAGTAACAGACTAGGAATATTGAACATTTCTGAACAGAATTTCATGCTGAATTCTTAAATATTTTCAGTCTTCTAATCAGAAAATCATTCATGTTGCCCCCATGCTTAGGAATATGGCTTGATCTGGCAAAGATGGAGGGAAGAGAGACTAGACCTAGATTTCCATATACTTGGAACTTTTAGGAAACTGTAGGTGTCATCAGGACATTGAGCTGTTGGTTGGAGTAGTGATGTCCAGGTTGCCAGTATGCAGCTTAGAAAGTAAGGTAAGAGATGTCAAAAAGGCAGTTGGTTTGGTGCTACCTGCTTCCTTTCAAGGACCCTGAGATGCTAATCTGACTGGATTTACCTTTTGCCCCCTAAATCCTTCTAGTGATCCAGAACGTTTTCTTTACCATGAATTCACTCTAGACTTTGTGACCATAGCAAGCGGAGTCATACACATTTACCATATAAAGACTAGAAAGAAGTTTTCCACAGATTTGCACTTGTTATAGGTGGTAGCCTGGCAACCCAGAGGCCAGCCTCCCCCTAGTCTCCCAGGGGTTCTTCCCCAGTGGTCTATATATTTCCTGGGGAGAATAGGCTACATTTAGCCCAGACTTTCTTCAAATTAAAAGTAGGTAAGAGATAGAAGATTGAAATGAGACTCCGGAGAGCAGATAATTTCAAACATTAAAATAATCCATGTATGTGATCCATTGAATTTGACCATCATATGGAAAATGTAAAAACCTCAACATGAAATTCGAGAACATGCAACCAAGACACTGTGGTATTCTGTTTATAGTCATGTGTATTGTTGTGGGGATGGTTTCCTCTCTTGCTCTGTTTGTTTTGCCATTTTGCATGTATGTTGGTACAAGATAAGATAAAACCTAATTAATTGCATTCCCAGTTATGTATATTCATCAAAGGAGACTTTTGTGGAGCGTAGAGACACACACATCGAGCACAAAATATAGGATACATCCCTTTGTAATTGATATTCTTTTATTGGTTTACACCATGGATTAAGAAACAGGCCACTCACCTAGATGCCAATAACACATTCTCCTTTTGTTGATTGCACTTTACAACTGAGCAACCTTGAGCATTCCCTCCAGATCAGTCTTATAGTTTTTTGTTTTTCTTGCTACTAGCTCATGGGCTTTGCTAGTCAAAACTTCCTGGTTGTACTATTTTCCTTGTTATTGCTCAGTGATATCTTTCTTTGCTTGTCACCTTGTCCAAGGCAGTCATGTAGGTTTATCTGGTTCTGGAAGACTTCTGACTGCTTTTCAGAGCAACTGTGGTCACAGGGACACATCTTCTATCCATTCTTTGATTAAGCTAAGCACCTCGACTGTCTCAGAGACATGGTTATTGGTCACTGTCCTCCAACTGGCACTGTGGCCAGGATGGACCCACCACTGTTGGTGGTGTATTTTCAATCTGCTGGGCTCTTCTTTGGGTTCTCACTTCCTTTCCCTTTGGTCAACAGCAAGGGCATTCAACGCAATTAAGGGCCAGCAGCAGTGGTTTCTGGAAAGAGACAGGGAAGGATATCTGCTCTAAAAAAACATAGATAACCAGCTCTATAATCTTCTGATGCTTCCTTTTCCAAACGTTCCTTCCACCCACCATTTCCTGCTACTGTGCTGAATGTTAAAACACTGGCTCACGTGCAGGAAGGAACCTTTATGTCCAGATGCCTTATCTAAGCATTCTTGTTTTCTCAAACAGAAGCAAATGTATTATGTATTTTAACTTTGTGACAAACTTGGTCCATGAAATTTTGTTACTCTATCTTGTTCCTTAACAGTGATACTTTGGGGGCGCCTGGGTGGTTCAGTGGGTTAAGCCTCTGCCTTCAGCTCAGGTCATGATCCCAGAGTCCTGGGATCGAGCCCCGCATCGGGCTCTCTGCTCCGTGGGGAGCCTGCTTCCCCCTCTCTCTCTGCCTGCCTCTCTGCCTCCTTGTGACCTCTGTCTGTCAAATAAATAAAATCTTTAAAAACAAAAACAAAAACAAAACATTGATACTTTGTTGCTTTTTCAGATCATCTGGATACAAAAATGTATGAACTTTTTTTTTTTAATTGAAATTGAGTTGACACATAATGTTACATTACTTTAGGGTGAAAAAATGTATGCACTCTTCACAATAGTTCCATCGTTTTGGAGTTAGAAATTCCATCTGGAGGAGGACAGCAGTCCCAGAGCTCTGCAGGGAGCAGGATTTGGCTGATTTTGATGAGAAAATGGATTCCTTGATGAAGTAGAAGCTCCCGCAGGAAGACCCGTAAAGCCCAAATACCTTACGGTTCTGTTTACGCCTCTGTGGTTTTGTAGGAGGATTATTTTTGTAGCTTTAATATGATGCCTTAATGTTGAATGATTATACCAATTATTTGGTATCAACTGTTGTGGAACTCATGTTATGGTTTTACAAAGAGATGCTAAGATGAGTCTTCATGCTCAAAGAAGGGCAAGGGCTGGGGTAAAGTCATTGATGACATTGAGAAGATCTCCCTGTCATAATAAAGATAGGCAGGTAGATGGATAGAGATAGATGGGTGGGTGGGGGCAGAAAGAGAGGGAGGATAGATAGATAATAGGTAGTTATCTTTGATAATAGATCAAACTGACAAATGCACAGGGCTCAACTTTAAAAACGTGCAGGTCTCATTTAGGTCAATGTTGGATCTTAATTTGATGGTTATCCTATGTGCTAAATATAATAACTAAATACTAATTCCAGTTATCTCCTGGAACACCGTTAGGTTTATGATAAAAGTAAAAACAAAACAAAACAAAACAAAAACCCCCCCAAAAACCATAAATGGTGATTGGTTTTGAATATAGCCCTCAACAATCTATTTGCTAATGTAGATTAAACATCTAATTTGGAATTTTGAATCCCATGTCATCTGAGATGACACTGGCTTCTTTCTAGCTGTGTGGTTGAGAATAAAGCCTTAAAGCTGGTAATCTTACTGAGTCTAATGTCCTTAGTCTTATTTACTCATTTGAGAAACCTCAGGTGGAAGTTTTGTAAACCTCAAAACCCTTTATGCAAATTTTCTATGGAAGCAGAATGCACATTCACACAGTGTATGACTTTGAGACACAAAGTGATTTCCATTAATTCCTAAAATCTTCACTGGTAGAGAGGTCACAGACTAGTGAGTCTCTGATCTGTTTTCTAAAGACAAGAAGCCCACAGAACAAAACATTCTCATTTTAACAGAGTTTTCCCACCATTGACCTCTCCTTTACCTCAGGGCCTGTAGATCACAGGACAGAAGTGGCAAGTGTTTGCAGAACACTCTGAAGTGAAGTCCGTTCCCACTGCAGGCCTCACTCAAAGATGGCAGCCTTCCCTGTGGAAGTGTTCCACAGTATTGCTGGATGATGAATGTGGTGCCTCTGGAGTCCACAAAGCCTTATCGGTACTGGTCTTCTATTGGTAGAGGATGAAAGATGTGGCAATTCGTCTTTTACTTTGGAGGAGATATGCTGAGCACCCCTGACCACTGGACCCAGAACGCCTTCAGTGATGTCATGGGGTCTTCATCCTCAGAGGATTTGTCTCCTACTCTCTGGAGCATTTTTGTCTTCCCCATATCACCAGTGGTACCCTAGTCATCTTTCTTTGTCCTGATAGACCAGCATGATGTTATCGATGTATCGATGTATGATGTTCTGGGAGACACTCTAGATCTCTTAGACTCTAACAGAGGCAATTAACATAACCCTGAGGCAAAACTACCAAGGACTATTACTGTGTAACTTACCAGAATATGAACTCTTTTCTAATCAGAATAGAAACGAATCACTAGCGGAATATCACAGACCTATTCCAGGCACAGATACCATGTCTGACAAAGCAGCTGTCGCTGCCTGTTTAAGCTTCCAGTGATCTGGTTGCTCTTCAGGATCCATCTGGTTTCTGGAAGAATAAGACTGGTAAATCAAATGAAGATGTGGTAGATACACTTTCTTGTGTTCTGTATGTCATTAATTATCTCTAATTTTCTCCTCCTTAAGATGCAGTATTGTTCTTGATTCAGTGTCTTGGCTGGGGGTGGGTTGAGGGAATTGAACTGAAGTGTTCACTTTCCCTTCCCCATTATCTGAGACTTCTTACCCAATAAGCTCAGGACCCAACATGCTTCTAAGTAGACTGTGTAACATTAAGTGTGTCTCTTGTAATCCCTAGAGTAATCGCTAAAATTACTACACAAATATATACGGTCTAACATCACAGTGGGTAAATTGGAATACTTAAAACTTTCAGATAAGACAAAAGAAAGCAGGAAATGAGAAACAGAAGAATGAAAAGCAGAGAAAACACATAACAACGTGGCAGACCTGAATCCTGAAATATCAGTAGTTAGGTTAAATGTAACTGGTCTACACACACCAGTGAAAGGACATGTGTTATCAGATTGGATTTAAACAAACAGGGGTGCCTGGGTGGCTCAGATGGTTAGGCGTCTGCCTTCAGCTCAGGTCATGATCCCAGGGTCCAGGGATCGAGCCCTGCATCGGGCTCCCTGCTCATCAGGGACTCTGCTTCTTGCTCTCTCTCCCCACTGTCCGCCCTGCTTGTCCTCTCTCACTCTGTCAAATAAAGAAAAAAAGGGGGGGGGGCACCTGAGTGGCTCAGTGGGTTAAAACCTCTGCCTTCGGCTCAGGTCATTATCCCGGGGTCTTGGGATCGAGCCCCGTGTCGGGCTTTCTGCTCAGCAGGGAGCATGCTTCCCCCTCTCTCTCTCTGCCTGCCTCTCTGCCTACTTGTGATCTCTGTCAAATAAATAAATAAAATCTAAAAAAATTTAAAAAAAGAAAAAAAAAGTAAAAATATGAACAAAAATGACCTCACTGTAGGCTGTCTAAAAGAAGCTCACTTCATATAGAATGATATGGATAGTTGAAAATAAGAAGATGGGAATCAATCAAAAGGAAATGGGAGTGGTTATATTAAAATCAGACAAAGTAAACTTTAGAGCATAGAAAGTCGCCAGGAATAGAGATGGGCATCATTACATAATGACAAAAAGGCCAATTCATCAAAAGACATACCAGTTCCAACTATGTATGTACCTAACACTGCAACATCAGAGTGGATTGGACAAGTAGTGAGATCTGGAAGGGAAACAGAAAAAGCCATAATTTTTGTTGAAACCTTCAATACTCCTCTCTCAGTAATCAGCAGACCTCGTAAACAGAAAACCAGCAAAAATATAGAAAAACTGAACACCATCAACCAACTAGATCTAATGGATATCTATGTAACACTCCACACACTCAACAGCTGAACGCACATCTCCTCACGTGTGTGTGGAATATTCACCAAGACAGATCATATCCTGGGTCCATAAAACAAGCCCTAAGAAATCTGACACACAAAATAAATTTTTTGGCCATGCTACAATTAAACTAGAAATCAACAACCAAAAGATAACAGGAGCATCTCCAGACACTTGGAAATTAACCCACGTTTCAGTAATTCACGGGTCAAAGATGAAGTCATGAAGGAGATTAGAAATATCCTGAGCTAAGTAAAAATGAGAAACAGAAATGAAAACCCTGATTATCCAAGTAGTGATGTCCATCAGGCCAGGGAGATCTCTGTGTAGAGAGGAGCTTTTCTCTGATTCAATGGTTTACTTTTTATTGGAAGGCACTGCTTTAAATGCTGATATCAGCCAACAGTTACCTGGGACAGAATAAACAAAAGCTTAGGAATCCTGATCTCCCTGATAAGATTGATCCTTATAATATGATATGGCCAGGACACCAAGTGTAAATGTCACTGGGCTCTGCAGGAACAGGCCAAATGCAAATGAGATCAGCCGTCCAAGAGGGATCACGTGAATGCGATGTTTGGCAGGGCCCCCAGAGCACAGGCTGTAATTTCTGAAGGCAACCCTCACAGGAACTTTTCACAGAAGCCAAACAGTTCAAGCAGAGTCTAGAGATGCGGTAGAAACCAGGGGGGAAATGTGAATTGTTTTCTTCTAAATAAGGAGATCAGTGGATAAACTGTGCTTCTCCAGTCTTGACTTCAAAGGTCTCAAAAGTAAGTTCACTGTATTTTTTCCCTGTTCTGATCTGTGTTTGGGGATTTTCTTCTTTGCTTTTTTTTGCTCTTGCAAAATTAGAAATAAGCCTTTAGGAACTGAAAGCTGACCGTCTATGGGGAAATCATTTTGAAAACTAATGGGCTGTTTTGATGTTTTTCAATACTCAGTGTTTAATATTATGTAAGTGAAAGCACAGAGTTAAAATATAGTGTTTTATGAAACATTATGCAACTGGTAAATGATTTTTAACTAGAAACTGAGTGTGGAAATAGGCCAAAATTTGCTTTAAAAATTTGGGAAGAACTGAGTATCTTGAGAATTGATTTGTAAACCTGAGTCATTTTCAAAGTGATAGTTATTTACTTTTATTGCACAATAAGGTGAGGGCATTTTGGACAAACTGTTCTATGGCTCAGAAACTGTTTACTAGAAGCATTTACGGAAATATTTGTCTTGTCTCTGGCTCTCATTCTTAGGCTCTGAGAATTTGGGAAACGTTAGTGCTATCCAGGATCTTTTACTCTATGCACAGAATGTCCTGAATCAGAATTGAAAAATGCCATGTTTCCTTATCACAATACTATTTCAAATGCACTTTATTTCCGTAAACAGAGAGTTCAAGCATTTTGCTCTGAATCTAACAACCGTCTAAGAGGAGAAGACTCAGAGCCCTCACAACTCGGAACTGTCTACTGCATGATAGTAAGGAGTTCAGGTTGTTGTTAGTCTTTTGATAAACTATGGAACATCCATGAGTTGGGGGGAAATAAATACTAATTTCTGACAGAAAATCAGAGGGACTAGAGCCAGATGGAAGTTTCTGTGCTATATTGGGCTGCAGCAGATTCCACAGTGAGATATCACTTCTTTGGTCTTTGGTTTTTGGCCAGCTGATTCTCCAGCCCAGCCTTGCACAGTCCCCTTAAAAATGTCACACGGAAGTCGCTGCACTAGGAATGGCCTATAGGGATAGTCAATCCCATATCCCTGGATACCTAACCTAATGCCTTTTTTTTTTTTTTTTTTTTTTTGGTGGTGGGGTGCCCTCTGGGAACTATCTTCCTTTCACCAACTGCCATTGCCTGGACTTTCTAACCTCTTCACAGAACCTGCTTCCCCCTACATGTGCCTCTCAGCCTCATCAGCAGACATGTCTAGATCTTTCCCAGGGGAAGTGCTCTCTGAGGTTGTCTTGGCTAATGTGGCTCCCATCAGAACTGGTTTCTGTATATCTTCCTTGAGCATTGTCTCTAGAAAGTAGCAGAGCCCTCGGTGTCATCCTGAAGCATGAATGGGATGACAGCTTCAAGCTAGGGCATGTCTATTCCTCATCATGATGGGGAAGTTCATGGCAACCATGTAGTTTCCTATCCCTGGCCAACATTACAGACATGTGGGAGGAGGAGAACACTTGCCTCAAATTCAGGACTTAAGAGCCAGCTCTGTGCTCCGAAGTCCTGACTCATCCACCCAAATCACATCCCTGGTGTGCTCATGTGAGGCCAACGACAGATGAGGATACTACAAGAAGAAAGATATTTTTCCAGGAAAGCCCCTAAATTAAGAGTAATCATCAAAGGAATAGCTTTTATAAGTATCTGTCCTATCTTTGGGACAGGAAGAAAACATGGGGGGAAACTTGATAAATTTCAATAGAAGGTAGTATAGATAAAACTAGAAGCAGAGTAAAACCATGAGAGACTATGGACTCCGAAAAACAATCTGAGGGTTTTGAAAGGGCAGGGATGGGAAGTTAGGTGAGCCTGCTGGTGGGTATTATGGAGGGCATGGATTGCATGGAGCACTGGGTATGGTGCATAAACAATGAATTCTGGTACACTGAAAAGAAATTAAAAAAATAAAAAAAATATTTAAAAAAAAAGCAGGCTTCAAGTGAGAATAAAACATAGTGAAAGATCATCTAAAATGAAAATTTATACATGACTAAATTCACTTCTTAAAAATATAGCATCTATCAGCTTGGATTTTTAAAAATAAATTATGAAACTTTCTCTTTTTTTCTGATTTAATACACAGAAGAACTCCATATTTTATTTTTTTTAATTTTATTTTATTTTTTCAGTGTTCCAAGATTCATTGTTTATGCACCACACTTTCTTAATCACATGCACATTAAAAATAATCTTTTTTATTTTTTAAAAAAGATTTTATGTATTTATTTGAGAGAGATAGAGAGCAAGAGAACATGAAGAGGGGTAGGGGTAGGGGCAGAGGGAGAAGGAGAAGTAGACTCCCCACTGAGCAGGCACCCTGATGTGGGGCTCGATCCCAGGACTCTGGGTTCGTTCATGACCCTAGCCAAAGGCAGAGGCTTAACTGACTGAACCACCCAGGCGCCTTTCATTCTTTTTTTTAAATGTTTAGTAGAATTCACCAGAGAAGCCATCTGGTCCTGGGCTTTTCTTTGTTGAGAGATGTTTGATCACTGATTGAATGTTCTTCCCCTTTTCTTTTGTTGCTGATTTCTAGTTTCCTATCCTCATGGTCAGAAAAGATACTTAGTATAATCTCAATTTGCTAAGACTTGTGTTGTGGCCTGTCGTACAATCTATCCTTGTAGCTGTTGGGAAGTCTTGGATATGTGAGAGCGGCTTCTCCCGTCCTTGAGTGACAGCCTCTCTCTGCTTTGTGTCATTGCTGGTTTCCCAAGCAAATCTCAGCAGCAACTCACCTTTGCTTAGGGACAGGGAGGTTTTCCACCCAGCCATGGTGGTAGATGGCAACTGCTTTTTACTTCATGCAAGGTCATGTTTTGTCAGCTAAGGTGTGCTTGGGTAGGTGGTATTGCAACCCACTGACAGTCAAGCCATGGGCACAAGGAGGGCACTGACTTTGCAACAGGGATTCTAAAGGAAACAAAACTCTGGGGGAAAAACTCTAGAGCTGTCACATTCCTGATCTTGAGTCAAGAACTATTGAAAACACACAGGGAAACTTTTACCATCCCAGCATATTGCATTGGAGAAAGTCATTTAGTCAGAGCAGTGGGGGAGAAAAAAGTCTCTAGAAATGGGAAAAATGAACCACTCTGAGACCAAAGGGGAGAGCCTCTTCTTCCTGCAATGTCTACTCAGTCCTCCCTACTGACAAAGCTTTCCATCATGCCGGCTGGCAAAGAAAACAGTTTAAATCCATTTTCAGAGAGCAGGCTGCAAAGAATGAATTTTGAGGCAATACATTGATCACTGACACAAGGCATGACCAAAAAATCAGAGAATAAAGAGTTTGGAAGTGGGAAGAAAAGAAAGCCAGGGGAGTCATAACATGCTAACTTTGGAACTCACAGATTGTAATGATCAGGTTGGCCTTTTCCTGTTTGCAGGGTATATCTTCTCATGAAGATGTCACATTAATGTAACCTTCTCCTTTTTTTTTTCTTATTAAACAGGGCAAAATGAAGAAGAGAGAGCTAAGTGTGTGTCAACAGACTTGGGCATTATTATGCAAGAACCTTCTGAAAAAATGGAGACTGAAAAGAGAGTCCTTTATGGTATGATTCAGTATCCCTGTTACTTCTTATTTACAATGTAGAAATATATATTCCCTGGGAAGTAACTATACTTTGTTTATCTCTCCTTCCAAAACCCAGACTGAAGCAGAAAACCTTTCTTATGAGAGAAGGAGCTGTTCCTCAAACCTCAAACCTCAACATTTCAGACATAGACCCCAAGTCGAGGTCTAAAGGCACTGAATTCTACCCAGCAATAGCAAATCCAATAAATGTTTTAAAAGTCAGTGGTCACATGTTTGCTAATGTTTCTACTCGTGGACAGTCAGGTTTAGATACTGAGATTCTGAAGACATGGTTAATCAAGACACTGAAGTAGGGAAGTGGTATATTCTCTTTTGAATCACTTTCTCTTTTTTTAAAAATAAATCAGTCTCTTCAAAAGGGCAGAAAACTTGGAGATGTCATTAGTGCCAAGAAGAAAATTAGCATTAGCTCCCATCATTTTTACCATATAACAAAAATCCTGGTTGAGCCTTGATCTCTTCCAAAAATCAGATAGATATAAATTAGTAGCATTTCTAACTAAACCACAACTTTGCTATATATCTAATTGTGAATTTCTTCTATCATCATCCATTTAGGAAATAAAGTGATGTCTTACTGGAAGTTTGCAGGTGACCAATAATAACTAAAAAGACAGTATTTCTCCAGTTGCCTGAATCGTGCTGAGTTTCTAATACCAGGATCTTGGTGTGTAGCCAGTATATTACTACTAAATTAGCAGTGCCTTGGAACTGTCTCATGTAACACTAAGCTCTCAGTAGAACCAGAAACTGGATGAGTAGGTCATACCAGCTGGTAATACTTTGTAATAGCTTTCCACTGTTGCCTCTCATCCTTTCATGGTCCGTGCATGCTTTAGACTGGTGCTGTGATCAATACATTTGAATCCTTTTAAGAGCTCATTGGAATTACTCAGACTGCTGAATTTTGCACTGTGCATATTTTCAGGAGTTCATAATGTGGCATATATTGAAAGCAGAAAAAATGTACAAGACAAACTGTATGACCAAATGATTGTGGATAACTAATACAAAATCACAATTTTCTTTATTCTTTCTCTTGGATTGTATAGGAATGGTTGACCCCATTGCTCCTCCTACTTTGCTTGTCTGTATATCCTACTAGTCATGAATTTAATGATTTTTCTTCACTGCCTGCCATGGACCTGGGACGGGTAGACTCATTTAAAGATTCTACATTTTCTATTACATACACACCTGTCACCAATACAACCCAACAGATAATGAATAAAGTAGCCTTAGCTTCCTTCATGAAAGGTGAGTTTTCTAGCAACCAAGAGGAATTTCTGATGTCAATTTTTTGTTCATTTGACTACAGATGCATGCATTTAATTTGTATTTCAGTTGATAAACTGGTAATTGTCAAAATTTATAGATTACGTGAAATTGGGTACAGTCTCTCAACAAAGAAATCTTGATCTTGCATACGGTTTGGGGAAGTATGGAATATAGAGTTTGGCAGATTTTGAAAAGCAGGAGTGTCAAATGGTTGACATTTGGCTGTGGAAGCATTATTACTAGACAGAGATTGTCACTCTAGCATTTGCTTATTATTAGAGACAAAAACAGTGAGTCTTTTCTTGAATTTGATTATGGAAATTTTATCTCCAGGTTTTTACTACCAAAAAATTTCTTACTAATTTGAAGATTCTATTGATGAGTATTCTGTGTTTCAAATTTCTACCCTTCATCGTTAAGATACTTATCAATGAAAACTAAGAAGAACATTATGACTGTCAACGTCGCTTTCCTGAAGAATAATTTTCTGAAATCGAGAAAAACAGCCTAGTAAATAGACAAGAGAACTAGTCTTAAAGTCCAAGAACAATTTGACGAAAAATACTTCTGTGACTGGGTCCATAGTGCATTTTGCAAGTTGTCAACTTCTCTGAGCCACATTATCACCCTACTCAAAATAAGATCAATAGTACTATATTTTTTGTGAATACTTCAGTTGAGAATGAGAGAATCCCAATTCAACTTGTCTCAAAGAAAAGGGGGCATCTTTTGTCTAACTTTAAGGAAATGAGTATGGATAGAGATGGGTCAACAATAGAGGAAGAAATATATCTCCAGCTGTCAGGTCTGTAGTATTGTGGGCTAGACTTATTCTCTTGTTGGCTCTCCCCAAATAGAAGCAGACTTAGTCTGCACAATCTCCAGATGTAAGCCCTACCACAAACAACTCCAGTGAGAAGTGTACAGACCTTTCCCAACTGTTCAAAATCATTTCAGAAATTAGACCCATTGGAATGATGGTCTACTTTGGATTAGTGTTGGTCTTGGCCCACCAAGAACAAATCTCACTGAATAGAAGAATAAAGTATCGTCACTGCCATTGGTTGGGTTCCTAGTCATGTTGCAGACCATATCCAAACCACATGGTATGTGAGTGGAAGAGTGTCAGTATCCCAAATGAATTTTAGAGTGTTTACTAGAAGGAGGAGTGAATGTCAGGCAAATAAAAACAATTCTTCTTTGCAAATATAAATGCATACCTCAAAGGGAAATCTATAGCAATTGGCCCATAAATGTGAGTTGAGTTATAATTTAGAAACAATTTAGAGCTTGCACAACTTTGTGGATAGACTAGAAATCATGAAATTGTACAGTTTAAAAGGATGAATTTTATGTTATATGAATTATATGTCAATTAAAAAAAGAACATAAAAATGTGACTTGGGAGCACCTAGGTGGCTCAGTCAGTTAGTTAAGCGTCTGACTTTGGGCTTTGGCTCAGGTTATGATCTCAGGACCATGAGCTTGAGCCCTGCATTGGGCTCTGTACTAAGCATGGAGCCTGCTTGAGATTCTCTCTCCCTCTCTCTTTGCCCCTCCCAACACTCAATAAATACCTACCTACCTACCTACCTGCATACATACATAAAGCGACTTAGGAAGTACTCAGTATCAATTTTAAACACCATAATTCCTCACCATGGGTATTACTGTAAGGGGAACTTTTAGGTCTTTCTCTACCCAATCTATATAAAGTCTCTCCTCTTTGCTATCCTATGTTCATGATTCTACTACAGTTTATGTAACCATTAATTTTGTGCCTGGATCCTGACCCCCTACCTGTATTCAGTATCCAGAAGTCCACCTCTGTGTAATCTGCATTTAGTCTCCTACTATTAGGAGTCTCTATGGCCACAGTTCCCAAATCATGTTGGACTTTTCTTTCCTGTCCATGCTTCACTTCACATTGCCAGGACAGCTGGATGGATGGTTTACATCCAAACTTGCTTCCCCATCATGCCTCACTGAACACCACCCCCTTGCTTCCACCTGAATTTTAATGTCTGCACTGTGTGTCTTCCCTACAAACACTGACTCCCCTTCTGATTCAAGATGATATTCTGATCTGTACTGTCCGCTTAAGGTCTGGTCTTCCTGTTTAGCTCAAGGTGTGTTTGCCCTCATCCTCTTGCTCACAGATGTCCTCCTGGGGCAGGGGGACTCACAATGCCATAACCTTGTGCCTCTCAACAATATCCTGGTTCAAGGTCCCATGCAACTGGGCTAACAAATATTCATTAAATGACTACTGTGTACAAGGTCTTTACATCAAGTTTATCTTTACAATGAATACATTGTTATCTTTGTTTAATAAATAATGTAACTGCAATTATGATATTCTTTAATGTTCTCATGACCTAGATTTTATAGACTTTATTCTGTAGTAATAGAATATTATTCTGTATTATATTTTCTGTACTTTGTAGTAATATTCTGTGCTAGTAATATAGATATTATTGTTTATTTTATGATGGAAATTAAAGCCTATATGACTTACTCAAGATCACATGGATTTAAGGATGAGGTTCCAGGAAAAAAAAATAGTTCTATCAAAATACATGCTGCCTTTTTCCTCCACATGCGTCTTCAACACTCCCACCCCAATCCAGGACTTTCTTTGCTTTTCTTCTCATTCTTTCAAACTAAATGAGATATTTGTAATGCATTGAACACAATAACTGCTGAAAGAGGGATTATTTTAGTGATATAAGTATATTCAATTGACATATTTTTAAATTTTTTTCTTTTTTTTAAGTGTACTTACCCTACTGTCAGATTGCTAAAGGAAAATGAATTTTTATAATTATTTTCATCTGCTGTGGACCAAATTCTAATTTTGATTTAAACACAATGATCTACCATTCGTGATCATTTTTTTTGCCAACATTGTAGATTTATTGTAATATTAATTCTCCTGTGAATAGTTTAATTGGTATGGAATGATAATATATGCGATAAAAATTCGTTCAAGAACTACAAATGAAAATAAAATAAGGGTACCTGGGTGACTCAGTGGGTTAAAGCCTCTGCCTTCGGCTCAGGTTATGGTCCCAGGGTCCTGGGATCGAGCCCCGCATTGGGCTCTCTGCTCAGTGGGGAGCCTGCTTCTTCCTCTCTCTCTCTGCCTGCCTCTCTGCCTACTTGTGATCTGTCTGTCAAATAAATAAATAAAAATCTTAAAAAAAAAAAAAGAAAATAACCTTCATGTAGTTCTTCTGAAGAACTATGTCTTTTCCCAAATTGTATTCTGCCTGACATACTCCAAGTTGATATTTGATTGTGTTTTATTTCTATAAAGAGCTCCAGTGAAAAAAATGTTCATCATCACTAGCCATTGGGGAGATTCAAATTAAAACCACATTGAGATACCACCTTACACCAGTTAGAATGGCCAAAATTAGCAAGAAAGGAAACAACGTGTGTTGGAGAGGATGTGGAGAAAGGGGAACCCTCTTACACTGTTGGTGGGAATGCAAGTTGGTGCGGCCACTTTGGAGAACAGTGGGGAGATTCCTTAAGAAATTAAAAATAGAGCTTTCCTATGACCCTGCAATTGCACTACTGGGTATTTACCCCAAAGATACAGATGTAGTGAAAAGAAGGGCCATCTGTACCCCAATGTTTATAGCAGCAATGGCCACAGTTATCAAACTGGAAAGAACCAAGATGCCCTTCAACGGACGAATGGATAAGGAAGATGTGGTCCATATACACTATGGAGTATTATGCCTCCATCAGAAAGGATGAATACCCAATTTTTGTAGCAACATGGACGGGACTGGAAGAGATTATGCTGAGTGAAATAAGTCAAGCAGAGAGAGTCAATTATCATATGGTTTCACTTATTTGCGGAGCATAACAAAACAGAGGACATGGGGAGATGGAGAGGAGAAGGGAGTTGAGGGAAATTGGAGGGGAAGATGAACCATGAGAGACTATGGACTCTGAAAAACAACCTGAGGGTTTTGAAGGGGCAGGGGGTGGAAGGTTGGGGGAGCCAGGTGGTGGGTATTATGGAGGGCACGCATTGCATGGAACACTGGGTGTGGTGCAAAAACAATGAATTCTGTTACGCTGAAAAGAAATTAAAAAAAAAAAAAAAGAGCTCTAGTGGGGCGCCTGGGTGGCTCAGTGGGTTAAGCCTCTGCCTTCGGCTCAGGTCATGATCTCAGGGTCCTGGGATCGAGCCCTGCATCGGGCTTTCTGCTTCCCCCTCTCTCTCTGCCTGCCTCTCTGCCTACTTGTGATCTTTCTCTCTGTTGGGTAAATAAAATCTTTAAAAAAAAAAAAAAGAACTCTAGTAAAAATAATTTATCATGACATCCTGAAGCTGGTCTCCTAGTAATTTACTAACAAATATATTCCCTTCTTGTAATGACAGACGCAAAAGTTTTGGGGCTGTCCGAAGAAGAAAATATTAAAGAATTAATGTCAGATAATCCTGATGAAGTTATACAAGTCATCTTTACTAATACATTCTCATATCATTTGAAATTCTTGCTGGGATACAGAATTCCAACAAAGAAGGAACACAGGGACCATGAAGGTAAGTTTCCAGCTATGTAACTCCAATGCTCTCCACCACAATTATGGCATAAATTGTACATAAGAATGGATGTTAATACAACAAATTTAAAAATCCCTATCTGCAATGTGATATCAACAGGATAACTGACACATTTAAGAAATATACATTGGGATTTGGTTTTATTAGCATGCTGTATTAGATAGTTGTTACATATGGTTTCATAGATGGATACATACATACACACATTTCCATATATCCATGTGTACATATACATATATATTAAATGGAATATGTAGTTGTAATTTATTATTGCTAAAGAAGAGTAAATTTGTTTATGGATAAAATAGAAGAAGATTCTCTTCAGATGTCTGAGTAAGCTTATTTTTGAGGGCCCAAAATGAAGAGGGCACCAAATCCAGAGTGATTGATTATTATTATTAATGCTGTATGATTTTGCCAATCTCACTAACCAAGAGATTTGGGTTTTAGCTACATAAGAACAGGTGAGAAGATCTTGGGTTTATATGAGATGAAAATTTCTGTATTAATTTGGAACTTGGAGAGACCATATACTCAGGGAATGCGTAGACAAGAAAAAAGGCCAAGATGGTTTTTAAAAAGAATGAAATTGTAACTAATTAAGACAATATGCTATTACCATAGTAAAACACAGATAGAGCAATGAAACAGGAAAAAACCTGGAAAGCTCTCACACAAATTTGAAAGCTAACATATGACTGAGAAGACACTGTGACTGGTTCTGGGAAAATCATCTGTCCATGAAGAACAATGTGAAATTATCTCATACTAAACAACCAATTCCAGGTACAGAACTCAGTGGGAGGAAAAAATCCTGTAAACTTTCTAGAAGTCAATATAGGAGAATATGTTTGTAACTATGGGATAGAATAGAATTCTTAAACAACAAAAAATAAGTAAACTATAAAAGAAAAGTTTGCTAAATTCAACTAGATCAAAATTAAGGAATTGTCTTTATCAAAAGACATCAGAGAGATAATGAAAAGTTAAGGCAAAACTTGTGATGGAATATTTATATAAGCAAAACTAACAGATGGTCAATACCAGAATATATAAAGATTTTCTCTGAACAAATAAGAAAAAAAAGCATAGAAATAGGAGAAAAGTGAAAGATATAAATAGGAGCCTCATAGAAGGAGAAACTCAGATCAAGAATAAACAGTTGGACCTGCATTAGTAATCAGGGAAATGCATTTTAAAACCACATGTGATATCATTTTATATTTAGCCAGAATGGCCAAAAACGGTAAATAGAACAATACAAAGTATTGACAAGGATACATAGCAAAGAAAACCCAGTATTATAAAATACTTTAAACATTTAAAATTGAGAAATTTTATTTTTAAGTTGAAGATATAATCTGTAACCCAGCATCATGGAAGTTTTACTAGTGAAAGTATCATGCCTGTGTTAAAAATTTGCTGCCTATTCTCCTCTCCTTCTGAGGACATGGAATAATTGCTCTGTAGGTATAATTAGATACCTAGATTCAAGGCACTAAAAAGCAGATTTGAGTTCTCTATACCCTCTCCTCACCTACTTCTGCAAGCCAGATGGAAACTGTCACCTTGGGACCCTTAGATGTGAAACAGAGGACCTTACTCCCCTCCTTGCAAAGACCTTTGCTGACTCTGTAGCATGAGTGAGTCACGCTATCTGCTTATCTGCTGCTGCAATAAGACATTAATATCTGGAAGGTCGTTACTAGGCATATTATTGGCTATCCTGACTGATACACACATATTCATGAGAAGACATATACAAGGGCTTTCATAGCAGTGGCTTTTTTTTTAAACAGCAAAAAGAAAAAAGAAATTAAACAAATTATTATCAATGAGAGAACAGATAAATACATTGAATTGTATTCCCACAATGTGGTTCTACACAATCATAAAAAGAAGAAAAAAATAGGGCCATTTATATAAATTTCAAAATCATTTATAGTACAAATGAAGCAAAATGGAGCATGACGACTGTAATAAGATAGATGATACAAAGTTTAACAATTTAACATTACATGTGTGGTTTGGGGATACATTATAGAAGCTTAATGGCATATATAAACACAAAGTTCAGGAAAGCAGTTAGCCTCTTAGGAGCTTGCTGCTAGGAAAAGCAGTAAGATCATAGACAATATACAGAGGATTCAAATTGGATTTGTAATGATTTCTTCATTTATAAAATTTGGCCATGGGTACATATGTGTTCATTATATCTTTGTTTGTAGGCCTGAATGATTTCCAATGATTTTTAAATATTTAAAATGTTAATGAAACATGTATTTAATTCCAATACTCAATTTTATTTTTTCACATTAAATATCACCATCTCTTTAATGCAATTTAATACTCACTAGACTGGTTGACTTTTTTTTTTTTTGGTAAGATTTTATTTTTCCTTCAAAAGATGTTCTGATTGACATGATTTAAACATAGTAAGTTATCTCCTCTGAACTCCCAGTTGCTCATTGTTGCCTGTGTTGTATGTAATGTTAGGCAAAGTTCTAGTTCTCAATCCATATGCTTCTCAATCCATATGAGACCTACTAACCTTAGAAAAATATAAAAAGATTATTTTGACAATACAAAATCATAGAAGAGAAGAACTCTACAAAATTTTTGTTGGATGAAGAAACAGGGAAGGTAATGTGAGAGAGCATAGTATATTCTAATTTAATGCAGAACATCCCCTATAAGTGCTCTGTCTGCCGTACTTTGAGAATCATTACTCCAGTTTATGTTTTCATAGGCCTTCAGTCAAAATAACAACATTTATAATGTGCGACCATTGTAAAGTCCACTGTTTCCTATAATAAGAACTGAAATAATCCATAATGATACCTATGGGTTTTTTTCTCTTAAAGCTCATTGTTCTAAAACAACTGAAAATGTTAGCTGCCAAGTTTCACAATACTGGAAGAGAGGTTTTGTGGCTCTTCAAGCTGCTATCAATGCAGCTATCATAGAAGTGAGTACAAATTTTCCGTGCTAACTGATGTTGCATCCTGATTAATGCTATTAGAGGCCTCAAAATGTTCATGAAATTAAATATAAATGGGTAGGTTTGTTCTTCACTTAATCACTGGTTTCTTTAGAACAAAGTTTATTTAAGTTTCTATTATGTCATGGGGGCTACAGACATAAATAAAAGAAAAATTTTCTCTCCCAAGAATTTAGCCTTGTCAGGAAGCCAGGCATATAGTAGGAATATTATTAGAGCCCAAATGTCTATCAACTGATGAATGTATAAGGAAGTTGTGATATTTATATATAGATATAGATACATATAGAGACCTAGATATAGATATATAATGGAATATTATTCAGCTATCAAAAAGAATGAAACCTTGTCATTTGGAATGACCTGGATGGAGCTAGAATGTATTATGTTAAGCAAAATAAGTCAGCCAGAGAAAAACAAATAACATATAATTTCATTCATATGTGGAATTTAAGAATCAAAACAGATGAACATAAGAGAAGAAAAAAAAGAGGAAGCCAAACCATAAGAGACTCAACTATAGAGAAAAAACTAAGGGTTGCTGGAGGAGAGGTAGGGGAGGGATAAATGGGTGATGGGGATTAAGGAGGACACTTGTTGTGATGAGCATTGGTGTTGTATGTAAGTGATGAATCACTAAATTCTACTCCTGAAACCACATTACACTACATGTTAACTAATTAGAATTTAAATAAAAACTTAAAAAAAAGTTATTAGAAAGGGAAAAGTAGGGTAGCAGGGGGGTATAAAGGTCTGTAAGTAAACAGGCTTAACTTCTCAGCCTAAAATGCCATGGGAGAATTCCTAATTTACATCATTTAAATTTAAATTTAAATTTAAATGAGGCTTGAGGTAAGAGTTGCCAAGTATATAAGGTCATTAATGTATGTCAGGCACATTATAAGGCAGGGTTAGGCAGGGAGGTGATAAAACACATAGTAAATTTTGAGAACTGTGAGAAGCTCAGAATGCCTGGAGTCAGTGGGCCAGTGGTGGAACACAGAAGTGAAAATTTAGACTAGCATCAGATCCAGAATTAACAGTTTTGTGTTCAGAGGAAAACAGATGGCTGAAAGAAAACAGAGCATGCCATCCATGAATATACAAATTTTGTTTATTAATGTATTTCCTCAGACTGCAACAAATCATTCAGTGATGGAGGAACTGATGTCCGTTACTGGAAAAAATATGAAGATACATCCCTTCGTCGGTCAGGGGGGCACTGAAGCTGATTTCTTCATTTTCTTCTGCATTATTTCCTTTTCCTCATTCACTTATTATGCATCTCTTAATGTTACAAGAGAGAGGAAGAAGATGAAGGGCTTGATGAGGATGATGGGTCTTCGGGATTCAGCATTCTGGTGAGTAAAGCATAGCACAAATAAATAAATGTAGGGATTTAGGAAAAGTGGGCCTCTTCAGAGCATCTGTATTCAAACCTAATCATTTTCTAACTCTTCCCTATGAGTGGGATAAATTGTCATTGATGTAACGCTTGCCAAGTTAAGGCTGTGGGTTACTGTGCTTCTCAGACTGAAGAAAGAAAAGCATGTTTGGGTTTGGATAGTGGTTGTGAGGTAGGGATAATGAGGGTTGGCCATTGAGTCTACTGGTTGTGAGGTAGGGATAATGTGGGATGGCCATTGAGTCTACTGGTAAGAGTGTGGTAGAAATGGTAGATTTGGGTGTCAAAGCTGATTGGAAATAGAATTCAAGCCAGCATGGGACTGAAAGGGGAAAAAAGAGGTCAAAGACAAGGGGCTCTTTTGAGACTAAAGGTGGGTTATGATGGATGTATTTGAAGGAACAAGCTGGCAGAACAGGCTTGTGAATAGGGGCTGGGTAGTTTGAATTTAAAATGCCAGAAGCTGTGTAATTCCAAGCATGGACAAGGTCCTGTGTGAGAGAGAACTTGAGAATGACTTAAAAACATGGAGGTGGTGTTTGTAGTGAAAAGGAAGTAAAATAACACAGAGGCTAGGAAGCCACATGGAATATGCAAATGGAAATAAATTTGCAGTCTGGAAGAAAATGGTATAAGTCAATATTGAACTGCTCATTGAATTAATATTGGAGGGGAGTATGGCAGAGCCATGAACTCTAACAGCTCTAGAGCCAGAATGCCTGGACTTGAAATCATAGGTACTTCAAATCTTTGTTCAGTAGGTTCTTTGTCTAGAAAATGAAGAAAATAATGACACTTCTGCATAGAGCCTTTGTGAAAATAGAATGATTTCATATTTGCTAAGTTCATGAAAACACTTTCCAGTGCAGAGTAATTGCCGTACATGTAGGCTGTTGTTTTGCTGGTGTTTTGTTTTCATTATTTCATTATACCCTTTAAAGAATGTTCATCAACATGATAAGAGAATTAAACAAAGGAACGTGAACTATCCTATATCTCTGAGGGAATCCATGAAGCTCCTCACCCCTAGAGAGGACCCAAAGAGGAGAAAAGACCTGAGATTCACTGAGGAGTTACAATGTACTTGGACACTGTCCCACTTAGACATAACTTCGCTGAGCCAATACTGTGGTATTATTCCCAGTGTCTAGAGCAATTAAAAAAAAAAAAAAGATGAGGGATTACAGAGTTTTCTCAAGGTCACAGAGTATGAATGCAGCAGAAAAAAATGTTTGAACCAAAATCAAATAGACTAGAAGACTATTCTCCTTTTCCTCACAGTGATGTGTGTGTGTGTGTGTGTGTGTGTGTGTGTATGTGTGTGTGCATGCGTACATGTATGTATGTGTATTTTTCTGGAACTAATTTTAGGACAAAAAATATCCCTAATTCCTAAAGAATTTTTCCGCATACATTTACCTTATATTTAAATATCCTGAAATTCAATAAGTATCTACTAAAAGAATGAATATATCAATGAATACTATTAGAATCCATTCTGGATCCTCCTTTCAGTGGAATATGAAATTCTAAAATAACATCTTGTTTCTATCCTAGGCTCTCCTGGGGTCTGCTCTATGGTGTTTTCATCTTCATTATGGCACTTTCCTTGGCACTCATTATAAAACATGTCCAGTTTGTCATTCTGACTGGCTTCACGGCGATCTTCACCCTCTTCTTCCTCTATGGATTGTCTTTGGTGAGTTGGTGAATTAAGTTGCTTTCCACCCAACTCTTACCCTAAGGATCAAGTGTTGGTTTCCAAATAGGTAATTATTCTCCATATCCCTTTTCTTCACTATCCACTGTTTGCCTGAGAACATCCATGTATTTGATTTGTAGTGTTTTTTTTCTTTTTAAGATTTGTAATGTTTTGTAATGCCAACTTATAGTGCAATTTATAGAGCACAGATTTGTATTATAGACAAAAAATGTAACTCTAATTTTGTATATACAATTCCTTATTGTGTTATGCTAAGAATAATCCTTAGGGAAATATAAACCAACTGGATCTTCTCTCATTTTAGATAGCATTGGCTTTTCTAATGAGCGTCTTGATAAAGAAATCTTTTCTCACTGGTCTGGTCGTGTTCCTTCTCACGGTCTTTTGGGGAAGTTTGGGATTTACAGCATTGTACAGGCAACTTCCTACATCCTTGGAGTGGATTTTAAGCTTTCTTAGCCCCTTTGCCTTCACGCTTGGAATGGCCCAGGTGAGAAAGAGCCCAACTGTTTGATGGCATTTCAGAAACATTTTTCCTGTCTGGAATTCTATTGTTTACAGTCTTTTCTATGATTAGCATTGTCAGATTCAAAGCCTCAGTGCAGACTACTGTTACATTGTAAAGATGAAATTGTTTTTAAGATTTTATTTATTTATTTTGGGTGCCTGGGTGGCTCAGTGGGTTGGGCCTCTGCCTTTGGCTCGGGTCATGATCTCAGGGTCCTGGGATCAAGCCCAGCATTGGACTCTCTGCTCAGCAAGGAGCCTGCTTACCCCTCACTCTCTGCCTGCCTCTCTGCCTACTTGTGATCTCTCTCTCTGTGTCAAATAAATAAATAACATCTTTAAAAAAAAAAAAGATGTTATTTATTTACTTGAGAGAGAGAGAGCAAGAGAGGGGAGAGTGTCAGAGGGAGAAGCAGACTCCCTGCTGAGCAGGGAGCCCAATGGTGGACTCAATCCTGGGACTCCAGGATCATGACCTGAGCCGAAGGCAGGTCACTTAACCAAATGAGCCTCCCCAGGTGCCCCAAATATGAACTTTAAAAAAAAAAAAAGATTTATTTATTTATTTGAGAGAAAGTGAGTAGGGGAGAGGGACAGAGGGATAGGGAGAGAGAATCCCAAGTGGGCTCTGTGCTAAGTGCAGAGTTCAATATGGGGCTCAATCCCAGGACCCTGAGATCATGACCTGAGCCAAAACCCAAGAGTCAGTGGCTTAACCGACTGAGCCACCCAGATAACTCTCAAAAAAGCTTTGGGCATACTGAACTCAGCAAAATAAGCCATTTGGTGAGTGAAAAAAAATAGAAGGTCAGCATATCATTCTTCAGAGATGATCTAAAGCATTTTCTTTGGCTACTAATTAAATATGGATTTGATATTGCAGATTGAATTCTAATTATTCTAGCTCTTATTTTGACTTTATAATTGAACAACATAAGTGAATGTATAGACCACTGTATAAAAGAAAAGAAAATCAAAACTTAAAACCATAGGGGCGCCTGGGTGGCTCAGTGGGTTAAAGCCTCTGCCTTCAGCTCAGGTCATGATCCCAGGGTCCTGGGACTGAGCCCCGCATTGGGCTCTCTGCTCAGCAGGGAGCCTGCTTCCCTCTCTCTCTCTGTCTGCTGCTCTGCCTACTTGTGATCTCTCTCTCTCTCTCTCTGTTAAATAAATAAATAAAATCTTTTTTAAAAAACTTAAAACCATAATAATTGACGAGCAAATTACATTTCTGTTCATCGAATGTCATTTCTGTTTATCTGATTCTCACATTGAACTCACTTTGCTGTCCCTCCAATTAAATGGCAATGTCGGTCCTTGCATACATATCTGTTATTTGGTTCTTAGTGAAAGGATTATTCATTATAAAAGACCCATTAACTTGAATATTATACCCCACTTTTCCCACAGGTTCTTAAACACACCAGTTTTGTTTTGTTTTTCTAAGAGCATAAATTCTTTCTCATGTAGCCATTTTCAAGGAGGACCACACCTTTGTCCTGTCCTGTATCTTATATGGTAAAAATTTATCTAAGGTTGAGCTCAAATATCATCTCCTATACTTCCCTGCCTCCTCCTATTAGGAGTTCAGTGAACACTAAGGTAGTCAGGGCCAGGGTCTGCAACAAGAAATCGGAAAGCCAGGACAGCTAAGATGAAACCACACTAGCATCCTGTTTTATGGACTACAGAAGACCACAACGGCATCCTGTCTAGCAGTCTCTGCAGAAGTGACTTTTGCAACATCCTGAAACAAAACAATTAACCATAAAATGTGGAGCCACTACCACAAGTTGAGGCAGTTTTTGTCCAAATGTCAGCCCAAAAGACCATCAACATGTGGATAACACCATAGGTAGACAGGTGCGTGATCAAAGCCCTCATTGGCACAACTTAGAGACCAATGAACAGGGCCCCACACTCAGGATGCTCAAGATATATCTGCAAAAAAGCTCAGAAAAACCCTAGATTTGAACACCGAAATGGCAACTCTCTCAGGCCCCCTCCCTCTCCGGAAGCATTTTACGCTCACTCAATAAACTTTGCCTTGCTGCCCACCACTTTTCATCTGGTCTACCTCTTTATTCTGTGAAGTGGCATGACCAAGAACGACGGGCGTGAAGGCAACAAAAATCCTGTAATAGTCCTAATGCTCCAGTTTCATTTGGAACATAATTTAACCACAGCAATTACTAAATTTCATTATAGTTGGGTTACACACCTTCCAAAAGATTTGAGAATTGTAAAGAAGGCAGTTTCACTCAACTTTGTGCTCCCCATAGGAGGCAAAAAGTAGCTCTTACACCTTTATGCCAAACCCAATTGTTAACCATTTATCACAAACCTGATGTCCTTTCATTAATTACTTCTTAATTTTCAGCTTTTGCGCTTGGACTACGATTTGAATTCTAATGCATTTCCTAATCCATCGGACTATTCAAATCTGATAATAGCAACAAATTTCATGTTGGCTTTTGATCTTCTCTTCTATATGGCACTGACGATTTATTTCGAGAAAATTTTGCCAAGTAAGTACAGATATGATTAAAATTGAATGTCATTTCCTAAAGGCATATCTAACACGTGTTATTTATATTTTGAAAACTGCTTTGTGCATCAAACGCAAAGAACAAGGTCATTGCCAACAGCCACATTAGTTCTTTATTTCTTGTTATTTGACTGCTCAGAACTACAGTTTGAATTTTGTTTATAGGGTCACTGATCTTTGAACTTCACTATGCTCTAAATGTAGTTTGTTTCTTTTTTAAAGTGATGCTTAGAAAGCTATTTCCTAAATACATCTGTCTTGGTACTTAGTCATGGAAATTTACAGTTGCTTTTGCCTGTTTTGCTCAGTGGTTCCAATTCAACCCTGAGATTATGATTCATTTTCGTCAGTGGTGGGACCAGGGTATCTACATTTTTAAAAGTCTCCCCAGAGGTCCACAGTAGGAAAGTCAATAGGTCTTATGTTTTTACTTCTATAGTAGATTTCAGGTGTTTTCACCACACACACAGAAAAATGATAACCATGTGAGGTGAGGATACATTAGTTAGCTGGATGGTGGTAATATTTCACAGTAAATGCCTGTATTAGACCATCACATTATATACCTTCCATATATACAGTTTTTATTTGTAAGTCATACTTCAGTCAAGCTGTAAAAATTATGGAAATTACTAATGAAATAAACACATTGAGCATTTTTCTTTTTAAGACAATGACTCAGCACTTGGTCAAAGGATCAGATGAGAAATAGTGAGGGCAAAGGTGCTGAGAAATGTCTAGAAACAGTGAATCGATATCCTGTTGTTGTTTTCAGATAATCCCTTAAGAACAGTAACTGTCTCTGCCTTTCTGAAGAGTCCAGAATAGTAGATGCCAGGATCTACAATTTTGGCTAGAACATTTATGATACACTAGGAATTATTTGTACCACCTATTCATTAAGCCTGAATTCTAACAAGGTGACTTTGTTCAAAATTCTGTGAAAGATAAGCAATATGAATGAAGAAAAGGAAGATTAATTGACTAAAATAACAGAATCATGTAATGGTGAATCTTGTGGTAGAAAGGACCCAGTCAAGCTATATGCTTTCATTCGCTAAATTTCCTCATGAAGGGTTTTTTTTTTCCAAAGATGGCAGAGAAGTAGCAGCTGAGACTACTTCAGGTAGCGGGAGATCAGCTAGATAGCTTATCTAAAGATCGCAAACACCTACAAATCCAACGGGAGATCGAAGAGAAGAAGAACAGCAATTCTAGAAACAGAAAATCAACCACTTTCTGAAAGGCAGGACCTGCGGAGAAGTGAATCCAAAGCGACGGGAAGATAGACCCCGGGGGGAGGGGCCGGCTCCCGGCAAGCGGCGGAGCAACGAGCACAAAATCAGGACTTTTAAAAGTCTGTTCCGCTGAGGGACATCGCTCCAGAGGCTTAACCGGGGTGAAGCCCACGCGGGGTCAGCGTGGCCTCAGGTCCCGCAGGGTCACAGAAGGATCGGGGGTGTCTGAGTGTCGCAGAGCTTGCAGGTATTAGAACGGGGAAGCCGGCTACAGAGACGGAGCCGAGGAGTGAGCTCACAGCTCGGGCTTACCTTGAACCGGTCGCAGGCTTGGTCAGCTCGGAGCGCGGCCGGAGGCCAGGGTGACAGGAGTAGATGGGTGCTGTTCTCTGGGGGCGCACTGAGGAGTGGGGCCCCGGGCTTTCGGCTCCTCCGGGCCAGAGACTGGGAGGCCGCCATCTTCATTCCCGTCCTCCGGACTCTACGGAAAGCGCTCAGGGAACAAAAGCTCCCGAAAGCAAACCCGAGCGGATTACTCAGCCCGGCCCCTGGTAAGGGCGGTGCGACTCCGCCTGGGGCAAAGACACTTGAGAATCACTACAACAGGCCCCTCCCCCAGAAGATCAACAAGAAACCCAGCCGGGACCAAGTTCACCTACCAAGGAGTGCAGTTTCAATACCAAGGAGAGCCGCGGAATTCCAGAGGAGGAGAAAGCAAAGCACGGAACTCATGGCTTTCTCCCCATGATTCTTTAGTCTTGCAGTTAATTTAATTTTTTTTCTTTTTCAATTTTTTTTCTCTTCTTCTGCCAAATTTTTTTTAACTTTTACCCTTTTCGTTTTTAACGTTTTTTAACTAGTTTATCTAATATATATATATTTTTTCTTTTTTATATTTTTTCATTATTCGTTTTCTTTTTTAAATTGTTTCCCCCCCTTTTTTTTCTTTCTGAACCTCTTTTTATCCCCTTTCTCCCCCCTCAAGATTTGGGATCTCTTCTGATTTGGTTAAAGCATATTTTCCTGGGGTTGTTGCCACCCTTTTAGTATTTTACTTGCTCCTTCATATACTCTTATCTGAAAAAAATGACAGGCGGAAAAATTCACCACAAAAAAAAGAACAAGAGGCAGTACCAAAGGCTAGGGACCTAATCAATACAGACATTGGTAATATGTCAGATCTAGAGTTCAGAATGATGATTCTCAAGGTTCTAGCTGGGCTCAAAAAAGGCATGGAAGATATTAGAGAAACCCTCTCGGGAGATATAAAAGCCCTTTCTGGGGAAATAAAAGAACTAAAATCTAACCAAGTTGGAATCAAAAAAGCTATTAATGAGGTGTAATCAAAAATGGAGGCTCTCGCTGCTAAGATAAATGAGGCAGAAGAAAGAATTAGCGATATAGAAGACCAAATGACAGAGAATAAAGGAGCTGAGCAAAAGAGGGACAAACAGCTACTGGACCACGAGGGCAGAATTCGAGAGATAAGTGACACCATAAGATGAAACAACATTAGAATAATTGGGATTCCAGAAGAAGAAGAAAGAGAGAGGGGAGCAGAAGGTATATTGGAGAGAATTATTGGAGAGAATTTCCCCAATATGGCAAAGGGAACAAGCATCAAAATCCAGGAGGTTCAGAGAACCCCCCTCAAAATCAATAAGATTAGGTCCACACCCTGTCACCTAATAGTAAAATTTACAAGTCTTAGTGACAAAGAGAAAATCCTGAATGCAGTCCGGGAAAAGAATTCTGTAACATACAATGGTAAAAATATTAGATTGGCAGCAGACTTATCCACAGAGACCTAGCAGGCCAGAAAGAGCTGGCATGATATATTCAGAGCACTAAATGAGAAAAACATGCAGCCAAGAATACTATATCCAGCTAGGCTATCATTGAAAATAGAAGGAGAGATTAAAATCTTCCAGGACAAACAAAAACTGAAAGAATTTGCAAACACCAAACCAGCTCTACAGGAAATATTGAAAGGGGTCCTCTAAGCAAAGAGAGACCCTAAAAGTAGTAGATCAGAAAGGAACAGAGACAATATACAATAACAGTCACTTTACAGGCAATACAATGGCACTAAATTCATATCTCTCAATAGTTACCCTGAATGTTAATGGGCTAAATGCCCCAATCAAAAGACACAGGGTATCAGAATGGATAAAAAAACAAAACCCATCTATATGTTGCCTACAAGAAACTCATTTTAAGCCCGAAGACACCTCCAGATTTAAAGTGAGGGGGTGGAAAAGAATTTATCATGCTAATGGACATCAGAAGAAAGCAGGAGTGGCAATCCTTATATCAGATCAATTAGATTTTAAGCCAAAGACTATAATAAGAGATGAGGAAGGACACCATATCATACTCAAAGGATCTGTCCAACAAGAAGATCTAACAATTGTAAATATCTATGCCCCTAATGTGGGAGCAGCCAACTATATAAACCAATTAATAACAAAATCAAAGAAACACATCAACAATAATACAATAATAGTAGGGGACTTTAACACTCCCCTCACTGAAATGGACCGATCATCCAAGCAAAAGATCAACAAGGAAATAAAGGCCTTAAATGACACACTGGACCAGATGGACATCACAGATATATTCAGAACATTTCATCCCAAAGCAACAGAATACACATTCTTCTCTAGTGCACATGGAACATTCTCCAGAATAGATCACATCCTCAGTCCTAAATCAGGTCTCAACCGGTATCAAAAGATTGGGATCATTCCCTGCATATTTTCAGACCACAATGCTCTGAAGCTAGAACTAAATCACAAGAGGAAATTTGGAAAGAACCCAAATACATGGAGACTAAACAGCATCCTTCTAAAGAATGAATGGGTCAACCAGGAAATTAAAGAAGAATTGAAAAAGTTCATGGAAACAAATGATAATGAAAACACAACGGTTCAAAATCTGTGGGACACAACAAAGGCAGTCCTGAGAGGAAAATATATAGCGGTACAAGCCTTTCTCAAGAAACAAGAAAGGTCTCAGGTACACAACCTAACCCTACACCTAAAGGAGCTGGAGAAAGAAAAAGAAAGAAAAACCCTAAACCCAGCAGGAGAAGAGAAATCATAAAGATCAGAGCAGAAATCAATGAAATAGAAACCAAAAAAACAATAGAACAAATCAATGAAACTAGGAGCTGGTTCTTTGAAAGAATTAATAAGATTGATAAGCCCCTGGCCAGACTTATCAAAAAGAAAGGAGAAAGGACCCAAATAAATAAAATCATGAATGAAAGAGGAGAGATCACAACTAACACCAAAGAAATACAGACAATTATAAGAACATACTATGAGCAACTCTACGCCAACAAATTTGACAATCTGGAAGAAATGGATGCATTCCTAAAGACATATAAACTACCACAACTGAACCAGGAAGAACTAGAAAGCCTGAACACCCATAACTAGTAAGGAGATTGAAACAGTCATCAAAAATCTCCAAACAAACAAAAGCCCAGGGCCAGACGGCTTCCCGGGGGAATTCTACCAAACATTTAAAGAAGAACTAATTCCTATTCTCCTGAAACTGTTCCAAAAAAAAGAAATGGAAGGAAAACTTCCAAACTCATTTTATGAGGCCAGCATCACCTTGATCCCAAAACCAGACAAGGATCCCATCAAAAAAGAGAACTACAGACCAATATCCTTGATGAACACAGATGCAAAAATTTTCACCAAAATACTAGCCAATAAGATTCAACTGTACATTAAAAGGATTATTCACCACGACCAAGTGGGATTTATTCCAGGGCTGCAAGGTTGGTTCAACATCTGCAAATCAATCAATGTGATACAATACATTAATAAAAGAAAGAACAAGAACCATATGATACTCTCAATAGATGCTGAAAAAGCATTTGACAAAGTACAGCATCCCTTCCTGATCAAATCTCTTCAAAGTGTAGGGATAGAGGGCACATACCTCAATATTATCAAAGCCATCTATGAAAAACCCACCGCAAATATCATTCTCAATGGAGAAAAACTGAAAGCTTTTCCGCTAAGGTCAGGAACACAGCAGGGATGTCCATTATCACCACTGCTATTCAACATAGTACTAGAAGTCCTAGCCTCAGCAATCAGACAACAATAGGAAATTAAAGGCATCCAAATCGGCAAAGAAGTCAAACTATCACTCTTTGCAGATGATATGATACTATATGTGGAAAACCCAAAAGACTCCACTCCAAAACTGCTAGAACTTGTACAGGAATTCAGTAAAGTGTCAGGATATAAAATCAATGCACAGAAATCAGTTGCATTTCTCTACATCAACAACAAGACAGAAGAAAGAGAAATTAAGGAGTCAATCCCATTTACAATTGCACCCAACACTATAAGATACCTGGGAATAAACCTAACCAAAGAGGCTAAGAATCTATACACAGAAAACTATAAAGTACTCATGAAAGAAATTGAAGAAGACACAAAGAAATGGAAAAATGTTCCATGCTCCTGGATTGGAAGAATAAATATTGTGAAAATGTCTATGCTACCTAAAGTAATCTACACATTTAATGCAATTCCTATCAAAGTACCATCCATTTTTTTCAAAGAAATGGAACAAATAATCCTAAAAGTTATATGGAACCAGAAAAGACCTCGAATAGCCAAAGGAATATTGAAAAAGAAAGCCAAAGTTGGTGGCATCACAATTCCGGACTTCAAGCTCTACTACAAAGCTGTCATCATCAAGACAGCATGGTACTGGCACGAAAACAGACACATAGATCAATGGAACAGAATAGAGAGCCCAGAAATAGACCCTCAACTCTATGGTCAACTAATCTTCAACAAAGCAGGAAAGAATGTCCAATGGAAAAAAGACAGCCTCTTCAATAAATGGTGTGTGGGAAAATTGGACAGCCACATGCAGAAAAATGAATTGGATCATTTCCTTACACCACACACGAAAATAGACTCAAAATGGATGAAGGCCCTCAATGTGAGAAAGGAATCCATCAAAATCCTTGAGGAGAACACAGGCAGCAACATCTTCGACCTCAGCTGCAGCAACATCTTCCTAGGAACATCGCCAAAGGCAAGGGAAGCAAGGGCAAAAATGAACTATTGGGATTTTATCAAGATCAAAAGCGTTTGCACAGCAAAGGAAACAGTTAACAAAACCAAAAGACAACTGACAGAATGGGAGAAGATATTTGCAAATGACATATCAGATAAAGGGCTAGTGTCCAAAATCTATAAAGAACTTAGCAAACTCAACACCCAAAGAACAAATAATCCAATCAAGAAATGGACAGAAGACATGAACAGACATTTCTGCAAAGAAGACATCCAGATGGCCAACAGACACATGAAAAAGTGTTCCATATCACTCGGCATCAGGGAAATACAAATCAAAATCACAATGAGATATCACCTCACACCAATCAGAATGGCTAAAATTAACAAGTCAGGAAATGACAGATGCTGGCGAGGATGCGGAGAAAGGGGAACCCTCCTACACTGTTGGTGGGAATGCAAGCTGGTGCAACCACTCTGGTAAACAGCAGGGAGGTTCCTCAAAATGTTGAAAATAGAACTACCCTATGACCCAGCAATTGCACTGCTGGGTATTTACCCTAAAGATACAAACGTAGTGATCCGAAGGGGCACATGCACCCGAATGTTTATAGCAGCGATGTCCACAATAGCCAAACTATGGAAAGAACCTAGATGTCCATCAACAGATGAATGGATAAAGAAGATGTGGTATATATACACAATGGAATACTATGCAGCCATCAAAAGAAATGAAATCTTGCCATTTGCGACAACGTGGATGGAACTAGAGGTTATCATGCTTAGCGAAATAAGTCAATCAGAGAAAGACAACTATCATATGATCTCCCTGATACGAGAGAGAGGAAATGCAACATGGGGGGTTAAGGTGGTAGGAGAAGAGTAAATGAAACAAGATGGGATTGGGAGGGAGACAAACCATAAGTGACTCTTAATCTCACAAAACAAACTGAGGGTTGATGGGGGGAGGGTGTTGGGAGGGGGGTTATGGACATTGGGGAGGGCATGTGCTATGGTGAGTGCTGTGAAGTGTGTGTTCACAGACCTGTACCCCTGGGGATAAAAATATATGTTTATAAAAAATAAAATTAAATTAAATTTTAAAAAAAGATTTCCTCATGAAAGGAAAGAGATTAAGTCCTAACTAATAACATACCAAATGGCAGGTGTTTAGAGAGTGTTTGATCAATATTGCATGAAAGAATGACTAAGCACAGGAAAAGTACACATAAGTTTGAAAACGCATCATTATTACACTGGAGGTCGTTGCAGAATATTAGTGAAATGTAATTTTTTTGTTTGTTTGTTTCATAATGTCTTTCAACATGTAGGGAAATAGAAATGCCAATTAAATGCAAATACATTGTGGATTAATTTTCAGAAAGGGGGTCATGAAGAGTAAATTTACTTCAGAGGAAAGTTATTATTTGGGGATGGGATAAAATATAAATACAAAGGAGCTTTTTAAAAAAATTCCTCACTGTTAAATTTCAATAAATTATTTTACCATTTTCTCTCCTTTCTTATAGTGTATCCCTCATTTTCATTAAATCTTGTTCTGTTTCCTCTTGGAATATTTGTATCCAATGTTACCACTGGATACAAATTCTCAATTTCTCAATTTGTTCTTCCTTTGGGGGAGACATGACAGCTGGACTCCTAGATAGCAGCAAATATTGCATTTATATTCCAGTAGCCGGCTTTCTCAGGGTCAAGTCTTAACATTTAAAATCCCTCTCGGATTTTTTAAAAATTCCAGTTGCCTTTCTTCCTTTAGGAACAATTGTTATAATAGAGACATCTTAGTGACTTTTTTTTCCCTTATGCGGACTACACCTATCAAGGAAAATGTGTGCATTCCCTGTGTTGATGATGCATTCAGGCGTCTGGGCAAAGAGGTGACTTTGCTCTGCTTTATTAGGATGACTCTTTCTCTTAGACTGGTGATTGACCCAATATTTGTCTCCTGTTCGTGTAGATGAATATGGACATGGGTATCCCCCCTTCTTTTTCCTGAAGTCTTCCTTTTGGTCACAGCAACAAAAAGCTGATCGTGTGGTTCTTGAAGATGAAATTCACTCTGATCCTTCATCTAATGACTCCTTTGAACCAGTGTCTCCAGAATTGCATGGAAAAGAAGCTATCAGGTATGCAGATGGAGAGCAGGGCAAAGACTGAGAAGCTAACAGCCCCTGAGGCCAGCACAGTTCTCTTTTGTGCCCTAAGGACAGCTTCCACCTAACCCCCTCCACACTACCTTCATTATTTCCCACTTCAAGTTTAGAGAAAAATTCCTTTAACCTGTTTTATCTCATATCATTGATATTTACATTAAATGCAAACTTAGATTTCACCAAACAAAGTTAATCCAAAGAAAACGTTGCCTGGATTCTCAATCTTTTATCTGCTGTCTCTCTTCTCCGTCCTTGGCTTCTCTCATTTCTTTACCTGGTCTCATTTATTCACACTTTGCCCCTCCTCCTTTATCATACTCCCTACTTTTTTCTTGGAGTTTTTTTCTCTTTCTTCTGTTGATTGCCAAGAGTAGGGGAGAAGAAGGGAGAAAGGATCTGGAGACAGATACAAAGGGAATCAAGGAAGGTGTGCCTTAGAGTGTCATGCACATCCTGGTTTCCACATGTGTGTTTTGTTTGAGGCAGACTTTTCTTTCCAGATAAGAAAATAGGAAGAAAGTCTTCAAGATCCCAGATTTTTCACATCTTCCTTGCCCATCAGTGATTCCCCACCGTCAGACCTCTGTGAATGGTCTCAGATTACCCTAGCCTACACAGCTTCTAAAACCCATGTCAGTTTTTATTTTACCCTGTTCCATATTTTATTTTACCCTGTTCCTCTATCCTTACATTTGTCCTGTGACCTAAGTTAGGTTTAACTTTCAGCGGAACAGCTGAGAGGGAGCAAAGAAATGACTTTATTTAATGTTTCTGTGTTTCTTTTGTATTTCTTCTATCTCTTTAGCATCTCATCCAACCATAAGTTCTAAGGAGTGATAGTAAATGGGATTAAAATAGTGTAAAGAATCTAATCAAACAATCCAATATGAATGGATCCTGAATCCTTTGATGACTACTAGATGACGATATAAGAAACATAAATTTGATTTAGTTTATGGATTACATATCTACCTGATAGAATAAAACCAATAAAGTGCCTAGGATTCCAGATCTATAATAGCACCAGGTGAATGTTAATTCTGTTCCTTTCTATTATCATAATCAGCATAATTTAACTGGTACCATTTTATGTTTATTGAATATTTATCATGTACCAAGCACTATGCATGGAAGATGAAAAATTTCACTCATCCTTCAACACAACCCTAAAACACCCAAAAGTTTCAGGTTCAAAAACTGAAACTTACCTGGGATAAGTACATTGGTTAAAGTAATAGCTACTAAATGGTATAGATAGTATAAGCTCAATTAGGTAAGACTGCAAAACCCATGCTGTCACTGTTATCATCTTTGCATCTTTCCCTTACTCCACCCTTGTACCTCTTAGCCAACTTCTGGAGACCTTGACTCAAGATAACTCAAGATACCTCCAACCTGAGCCAGTAGTTCATGATGAACCTTTCAGTGTTAGGTGCCATGTTACCTGTTGGGGTCTAGCTTCTTTGGCTTTGCAATTTATAGAAGATCCTTGTCCTCAATACTAATGCCAGGCTATACCCTAATCTTTGGAATCAGAAGATCTGGAGATGGGATCTAGGCATAGGTAAATTTATAAAACTCCTCGGGTGATGTTAATGTACAGCCAAGACTGGGAAGTAGTATTCTAGCTGATTCTCTCACACAACCATGGCTTCATGAGAGTGAAATCCCAGAACTTCCTATGCCCTGAGGATAAGATTTATTCAATCCTGTCAACCAAACCTAGAATTACAAACTGAATAAAACTGTCATACCTTGAAATATCTTTTTTTTTCAGAATCAGAAATGTTACAAAAGAATATAAAGGAAAGCCTGATAAAATAGAAGCTTTGAAAGGTAAGGGGGAAAAAAAGAAGATTTAGTTATTATATTGATACTGATTTGTGATTTTAATTCTATATTTTTTGCTCTTGGTGAACAGTTACTGGTGGTATTTCAGATTTGAAATGAGTTATTTGAGCCACATGGTAAAATTCACCTTCTAACACATGTTTTGACTGCATAAAAGTTAGGAAAAAATGATTATGTTTTAGAATTTGATGTACTTGAAAGATGTGTAATAGTGAGGTAGTCTAGGGATTTTGGGGGGTGGGTTTATTTCTACAAATTCAAATTTTTCTTCTGTCATTTCAAAGCTGTTGTAGATATTGTATATTTTTCTTTTGTGCAAAAAGAGAAATTTATCTCAAAGGATTTTTCGTTTGTTTAGTTTGTTTTGTTTGTTACCATTAGTCTGTTATTTAGTCCATAAACATTAACATCCATCCTACCATATACCAGGCAATGTCAATGAACCTGGGAGTATTACAGATGTAACCTGCTGAGAAACCACATAATTTCAAAATTTAAAAACAGGATAGACATATAAACTGATAAGGGCACATTTTGTTTTTATTTTGAATTTAACAACCCACTGTATTCATATTTAGAGAACAAGGCCATTCAAGGATATAAAAAAGCAGTCCGTTAGCTCCATAATACATTTTTATTTGTGATTTTGTTTTCCTTCCTGTCTCCCTACTACTTTCCCTTCCTTCCTTTCTCCCACCTTTTTTCCGTTTCTTTTTCTTCCTAGATTTGGTATTTGACATATATGAAGGCCAAATCACTGCAATACTTGGTCACAGTGGAGCTGGAAAATCAACACTGTTAAATATTCTTAGTGGGCTATCTGTTCCCACCAAAGGTAAGACCATTTTCCCAAAATCAGGTCAACATATAAATCAGCTGTTAATATAAAGTCCTTCTGATTATCAATTACAAACACAGACAACAATGGAAAAGTGGAAGTTAGCTTATAGTATTCATCTATAGAGGTATGTAATATTTGATTGGTATATATGAAATTTGAGTTGTTTATGAGGACCATTGTCATGGTCATTACTTACTATTTGACATTTGAACTTGTACCTGTTAGCTTTTGCTCCATAACAAGCATCCCCCAAATTAACTGGCTTAATACAAAAACTGTTTTATTGTTTCTCATGATTCTGTGAGTTGACTGGCAGTGTTTCTCTCTGAACTTCATTGGCTGGTGCTGAGTGTTTTGGCATGTCCTTAGTCACGTATATGGGGCTTCAGTTAGGACTGCTTGCTCCTCTCTGTTTACATGGACTTTCATCTTCTGAGAATCTGGTTGGGATTCTTCACCCAGGGGTCCATGATCCCAGAAGCAAAGAGAAAGCTCATCCCAGTGCAGAGGCAACTTCACAGCCTCTGTTTATGTCCCATTTGCTAGGATTCTGTTTGTTACATAACCAAGCCTAGGAAGGGGTGGATAAATGGATGACATCTTGATGGGAAAATCTGCAGATGGGACATTTTTTTTCTTTCCAGTATACCACACAACTATAAGAGAAGCTCATAATGACTGAATTGTAAAAACCTTGAAGAGAAAATTATGTGTCTAAAATGTAATTAATAAATTACAGTTTGTGTAATTTATTACAGTGATTCTCCATCTAGAAAGATCTTTTTGTAAGTGTTTATTTCAATTCTGGTTAGTTAGCATACAGTGCAGTATTAGTTTCAGGTGCACACTATAGTGACTCAACACTTCATACAACACCCAGTGCTCATCACAAGAACACTCCTTAAGCCTTGTCACCTATTTTCCCCACCCCCCCAGACTCCTCCCCTCTGTTAACCATCACTGTATTCTTTATAGTTAAGAGTCTGTCTAGAAAATCTTAATTCAAGCATTACCCTAATACTAGCTTTTAACTTTTGTTATAGGTTCAGTCACCATTTATAACAATAAACTTTCAGAAATGAGTGACCTAGAGAATATCATCAAGCTTACTGGAATTTGTCCACAGTCCAATGTGCAGTTTGACTTCCTCACTGTGAAGGAAAATCTCAGGCTCTTTGCTAAAATAAAAGGCATTCAGTCACATGAAGTCGACAAAGAGGTACTAAATAGCTAGAACTAATGTACTGGTTAAAATGAGATTGTTGACTCTACTTGCATGGAATCCTTTAAGCTTTCATTAAATTATATTTGTGCAAATCATGTCTAAATGTTGGGCCAAAAAAAATCTAATTTAGATAACAGCTAACATTTATGTATGATTTATAATGTTTCAAGCATTATCCTTAATTTCAAATATAACTGACTTATTCCTTATAGCAACTTTTGAAATAGGTACTATTATCATCCCCATTTTACACATGTGAAAACTGAAGTTCAAAAGCAACTTACTTGCCCAAGATTACACAGCTAGTTAAAGTGGTGTGGTTTCCAAATCCAGCCAGGCTTTTAATCATTACACTTTATAGCCTTATATTTCCAAATTTAAGAGGAAAGGGAAGGGGTGGGGAGGGAGGGAGAAGAAGGAAGGGGGAAGGAAAGGAAAGGGTGCTTGGGTGGCTCAGTCAGTTAAGCCTCTGCCTTTGGCTCGGGGTCCTGGGATCGAGCTACACATCGGGCTCCCTTCTTGGTGGAGAGCATGAATCCCCCTCTCCTGCTCTCACTGCTGTGTGCTCTCTCTCACGCTCTCTCTCTGTCTCTGTCAGATAAGTAAATAAAATTTTTAAGAAAAAAAGAAAAGAAATCTTGGTTTGTGACATAAATGCTGTCATTTGGCTAGATACAAAGAGTCTTGCTGGAATTGGAGATGAAAAATATTCAAGATGTCCTGGCTCAAAACTTAAGTGGTGGGCAGAAAAGAAAACTCAGCTTTGCAACTGCCATTTTAGGAGATCCTCAGGTAAGTCAGACTAATTTAGAGACGAATTCAAATTTTTAAAAATGAAACTTCTAGTAGTAGTTCAAATCTTTTATTTGAAAAGGACATCTGTGATAAAATAGTTATGATAGAGCATTAAATACAATAACCAGGTCCTAACTATAATATTCTTTTAAATATATAAGCAATATGGTTTGTGCATGTTTTCTGGAAGAACTTCACTTTCCTGGAAATGCCCTTTATATACATCCGTCCTCGGTAGGTTTTCCTATTGGATGAACCAACTGCTGGATTGGATCCCTTTTCAAGACACAATGTTTGGAATCTCCTGAAGGAGCGGAAAGCAGACCGTGTGATCCTCTTCAGTACCCAGTTCATGGATGAGGCTGACATCCTGGCTGGTAACTGTTGACTTGCCCGCTAAGTGTCCTGATGAGGTCTTTAGGAGACTGGATTGGTATTCTCAGCAGCTGTATTTAATAAGGTGGTCATCTAGGGGCGCCTGGGTGGCTCAGTAGGTTAAAGCCTCTGCCTTTGGCTCAGGTCGTGATCCCTAGGTCCTGGGATCGAGCCTGGGATCGAGCCCTGCATCAGGCTCTCTGCTCAGCAGGGAGCCTGCTTCCCTCCCTGTCTCTGCCTGCCTCTCAGCCTACTTGTGATCTGTCTGTCAAATAAATAAATAAAATTAAAATAATCATAATAATAATAATGTGATCATCTAGCCTTACCTGGCAATCTGGACCACTGGTAATGATGTGAACTGGGCCCAAAGAGTCACTCCCAACCCTTTCCATGTGTCTCCCTAAATTTTGTATCATTTGATGACACAGGGACATGATCTGCCAGGAAAGTCAATTCTTGTGAAGTGAGAATCTGTATTCTATTACATTAATCCTCTTACACAAAATTAAGGTGAATTAACTTGAAATTCAAATAATCTTGGTGTTTGGTCAATTAAAATAAATAATGTAATAGTAGTCTACATTAGAAAACATATGCGCATAACCTCCCTGGCTGGATGGATGGCGAAACAATAACCTGAAATACACAAATGATATTAAAGGGTACCTGTTCTGAAGAGTCTTTATTAAGCCCTGGATTTAAAGATGCAGAAGCTCCTGAATTCCAGTTGGATCGTGATTACCTGTCTTTTTCTTGGCAAAGAATGGACAACTTCCTAACAAAATTTCTTCTTTGCTTCTTCCATTTCAGATAGGAAAGTGTTTCTCTCCAAAGGGAAGCTGAAGTGTGCAGGTTCTTCTCTGTTCCTCAAGAAGAAATGGGGCATTGGATATCACTTAAGGTAGGACCACGTCAGGAGGCTGGGAAAATGAGAAATGAGCTAGAGGAGACACGATGCCTGACCCAGCACATGACAGCACACAAGAAACTGTTGATTTGTTGCACAGAGATGTTTACATATCCATATGTGGAAATACTTGTGTACATATATGGAATTGCTGTGTGTATATGAGAGACACTGATGAGCAGATGTTAGAGATTGAAAATATAAGATAACCTGGGGTGCCTGCCTGGGTGGCTCAGGTGGTTAAGGTCCATCTCTTGATTTCCACTCAGGTCATGATCTCAGGGTTGTGAGAGCATGGATCCTCCTTAAGATTCTCCCTCCCTTTCCCTCTGCACCTCCAGCCATCCCCTACCTCTGAAACACACGTGCATGCACTCTTTCTCTCAAAAAAAAAAAAAAAGAAAGAAAAGAAAACAAGAAAATGTAAGATAACTTAACAAAAAAATTGAGATAAATGTGGTAGAAAATGTATCTACAACACACTGTTTGTTAAGGAAGGTTTGTATTAAGGGAACTTTCACAACTGACACATTGTTTCATACATCCCTACCCTCTCACCTATCTGTTAACATCATTTTTTAAGTAGGCTCCTTGCTTCTCCTCCTCCTCCCAGCTATCCTCTTCTTGTGCTTCCTATTCTTTCCATCCTCTTCATTTTATTTTTATCATTATTTTGAATAGTAGGATATTCTAGCTGTTACTTGACCTCAGAGATAAGATACTTAACATTATTCTACTTAAATCCTTTGTATTTTGAGATAGAAACACTTGTTACCTTTATTCTACAGATAAACATTTGGTCTCCCTAGGTTCATAAATGATAGAGCCAGAAATGGAAACTGGATATTTTTAACTTTGAAAACTAATATCCATATCTGCATTTTAAGTTGATTTTTGATTTGTTCATGAATTGGTCAGTTTATCTAAAGTACAGCTCTGATTTAGACCATCAATATACCTTAAGAAGAAAAAAAAAATAACACGACAACCACAAAACAAAGCAAACAAAAAAAACTTCAATGGTTCCATTTTACCTACTGGAATCCAGATTTTGTAGTCATGAGATGTTGGTGTGGCCCACCCCATCATGATTTCCTTATTATTTGCCTTTAGCCAATTCAGTATCCTTTAGTCAAAAATAAAATGTTCATTGTTCATTGCACATGTCCTACCATGACCTACATTTCCCCTTGTTTGAGGTTATTTACTGAACTTTTCAGTTTTCTTGGACCCATTACCACTTGTTCAAGTCCTAAAGCATTATTTTGAATGCCATCTCATGTAGTCTTTATTAATCCTCCAGCTCTGTGTATTTTTCCAGTATTTCATTTCGTAAGCTACATTGTTTGAATTGCTTCTTGGAAATTAATTAAACTTTCCAAAACTGTTTTCTCGCTTATGAAGTGGGAATAACAATTCCTAGTTGCAGGTAAAGAAAAGTAAATGAAAAGTAAATGACATGGTGCCTAGCACATTAGCATGGCAACAAGATGTGTCCTCAAAATAAAAAAATGCTCCTTAGGACCTCTGCCCAATTCACAGATCTCTTCATGGGCTCCTGGACAATACTTCGTGTAATTGCCTTCTTTCTTCTTCTAAATCAGGGTCAGCCAACTATGATCCATGGGCCAAATCCAGCCCACTTCCTATTGCTGTAAATAATGTTTGACTGGAACACAGCCATACCCAGGTGTTTCGATGTTGCTTGCATATGATGGCTTCCATGTTGCAACAGCAGTGTTGAATAATTTCAATACTGGCTTTACAGGCCAGTAGATCTCTACTGAAAAATAAAACAATAAAAAATTAAAAAATAAAAAAAAATATTTACGACATAGTCATTTTCAGAAAAAGTTGGCTGACCTCCATTTCCAAACCATACACTCTTCAAGAGAGGATGCATTAACTGTTCATGCCGTCCTCTTTAGTGCCCCACACAAATTGTTCTAAGTGACCAAGAAGTATTTCTTAAATTATTCTTGTTTCAGGGGGCAGCAACCTCGTGGAGAACAACTATGCTTTTTTTTTTGGTTTTTCCTTTATTCCCTCAGTGGGTTTCACAGCTTCTAAAAATAGCATGTATGCTCAGATGTTCTTAATACTTGCATAAATAGCATAATTTCAATATGAGCAATTGATCAAATAAAATAGGCATTTTTAAAGGACTTGCTAAGTGCAAACATCACTATTATTCAGTTCTTAGGACAACCTTAGCTGTTAATTTTTGCTAATGAGCAAATTACCCAGATAGGTTAAGTAACACATTTCAAATTGTAAAACCAAAGTTAGAAGCCAAGCCACTACATACTTTTGCATTTGTTCTCCTATACTGGGGAGTTATCCACAGTATTTTTAAGTGGATAGACTGGTTTTCTCTATAATATTTTTTTCTTAGTCATAGTTTTGAGGTTAGCATACAAAAAAAGCAAAATTAGTGGTCTCAACAACCCATACTCACATTTATCCACAATTAATTTCTATCTATAACCCATTTCCTTCACAGCACTTAACCACTATTGTTAATCATTTCTTTATGTTTGTTTATTTTTTTTCTCCCTGTCTCCCCACTGGACAGTGAACTACATAAGAACAGGGCAGTGCTCTCTTATTCACCATTGTACCCTCATCCTAGTGTTTAGGGATTTTTTTTTATCACAGACTAATAACTTAATAAATCTGTATGAAAAAGCAAATTGAATAACTGAACCTGCTTTATGTCTTTGCCTGTCAAAAATCCCTTCTTCTTTACCAATACAATAATCCTGTTAAGCCAACTTAAACTCCTTTGAAAAATTCCATTTTATATAGTCCTGTTTGTGTCCTTGATATCTGTACTCTGCCACTATTCTCCTTTTAAGGACTTGAGTGGTTATCAACCTTGTCTGGGCATTAGAACCTGAATGCCTGACCAATAGTTCTGATTAGCTCCCTCTGTTTTCTCCCATTACATTTATATGATCTGATTTTTTTATCCTCTCTTTTCATGTTTAAATGGCTTATCTCTTGCATTAGATTTTAATTGATTTTTTTTTTATCTGCCAGAAGCTAGTAATTTTTGTCATACCACTGGAGACTATGTCAAATAACAGATTCTTTTTTTTTTTTTCAAACACCAGTTTGCAGTTGAATGAAATGCATGTTCAGGAAAATATAACATCACTTATTAAACAACACATCCCTGATGCCAAATTATCAGCAGAAAGTGAAGGAAAACTTGTCTACACATTGCCCTTAGAAAGAACAAATAGATTTCCAGGTAATGTACAAGAACACCATGAAATGAGATACATAAATAATATTCATAGAAATAATGATAATTCTTATATATTGAGAGCTCACAGTGTGTTCAGCTATTTGAAACATGATGCAAAGAATAATACAGCAACTGAATGATTTTATCTACAGTGGGAAATATTATATTCTAATAGTTGCATTACAATGTCTGGGTATTTTAGGGAGCTTTTTTAGTCTTTCATTCCCTTTGTAGTACATAGCAAAATATTTTAGTGTTCATATATGTGAATAAATACAAATGGTTGAAAACCTCTAGTTTAACCATTACCAACAGCTCTGTGAGTTTTCTCTTCATAAGACTATTGTGATGACGTTGGGGTTTATAGGCCAATGCATAAAAGATATTTTTATGACGTGTGTGTGTGTGTGTGTGTGTGTGTGTGTGTGTGAGCTATTTTGAATTCTTTGTCAGGCAGATTGTGTCGCTTCATTTCATGAGGGTTTGCTTCTGCAGGTTTACCTTGTTTCCTTTTTGGGAACATCTTTCACTTTTTCATTTTCCTTGACACTCTGTTGATGCCTAGGCACTAGATAAAGCAGACACCTCTTCTAGTCTTCAGAGACTGGCTTTCTGCAGAAGACTTTAGCCATCAGCCTTGTCAGAGATTCTGAGTGCCCCCATCAACTCTTTTGAAGCAGGAAGCGTGGTTTTGGTCAGGCCCCTCTGTGGAGACTCAAAGGAGGGAGTTATAGCATTATGTAAACTAGAGTAATCAGGATAATGTGCTATTGGCAGAATGATCAACACAAAGATAGAACAGACCTGAGAACCCAGAAATAAGCCTACACAGATATGCCTCACTGATTTTTGACAGAGGGGGAAAAGCAATTCAATAGATGAAGGATAACCTTTCCAACAAATGGAGTAAGTAGATCCACAGGCATAAAAATAAACTTTTACCTAAATCTCCCACCTCATATAGAAATTAACATAATGTAGGGGGTATAGCTCAGGGGTAGAGCATTTGACTGCAGAAATTAACATAATGTAAATCATGGACTTACGTGTAAAATGTAAAACCATAATTTTTTTTTAAATGAATAAGAAAAAATCTGCAGGTTCTACTACTAGGCAGAGTTTTTAGACTGGACACCAAATTCACAGTTTATGAAAGGAAAAAAATATATAAGTTTTCCTCCATCAAAATTTAAAAATTGCTTTGTGAAAGATCCTGTGAAGGAGATGATAGAATGAGCTATAGACTGGGAGAAAGTATTCACAAAGTATGTGTCTCACAGAAGACTGGTATCTGAACACATAGAGAACTCTGAAAACTCAACTGTAAAAAACAGACAACCCAACTGGAAAATGGGCAAAAGATAAGAACAGACAGTTCACTGAAGATGTGCAGGTGGCAGACACACATGAAAAGGTATCCAGTATCATATGTCAGCAAGGAACTGCAAATTAAAACCATTATGAATTGCATTACATACTTAGCAGAATGGCTAAAAACTTTTTTTTTACACAATGATCGTATCCAATGCTGGCTAAGATGTGGACAAAATGGATCACTCCTACCTTGATGATGGCAGTGGAAAATGGCACAGCCACTCTGGGAAAAGTTTGCCGTTCCTTTGAAACACTAAACCCTCAACTCCCATACAGCCAAATCATTTCACTACTGGATATTTATCCTAGAGAGATGAAAACATATTCACACAAAAACTGGTATATGAATGTTTGTAGCAGCTTTATTTGGAGCAGACAACAGCTGAAAGGACCCAGATGCCCTTTAACAAGTAAATGGTTAAATTGTGGTACATTCATGACATGTAATACCACTCAACAATAAAAAGGAACAGGCTACTGACTGCCATATGCAACAACCTTGAGGAATAGTCAGGGAACTATTCTCAGTGGAAATAGCCAATTCTAAAATATTGTATACTGTAGGGCTCAATTTATATAACATTCCTGAAATAACAGAATTCTAGAAATGGAGGGCAGATTAATAGCAGTCATGGGTTGGGAGAAGATGGGATCAGGAGTGATGGGCAGTATGCTGTCTATGAGTAGCATGATCTTTGTGGTGATGGAAATGTTCTGTATCTTGATTGTATTAATATCAGTAGTATGGGTGTGATATCCTACAGTGGCTTTTTAAGATATTACCATTGGGGGAAACTGAGTGAAGTGTACAGATCTCTCTATTATTTTTTATAACCACATGTGAATCTGAAATTATCTCAAGGGACACCTGGGTGGTAGTTGGGTAAGCATCCAACTCTTGATTTTGGCTCAGGTCATGATCTCAAGGTCATGAGATCAAGACCCATGTTGGGCTCTGGGCTGGATGCGGGTGGTCTGCTTGGGATTCTCTCACTCTCTCCCTCTGCCCTTCCCCCTGCTTGCACTCTCTCTCTCTCTCTTTCTAAAAATAAAATTAAATAATCTCCAAAAAAAAGTTTAATTAAAAAAGAAAGAAAAAGTTGACTTATTATGTATGTTATTCAGAAGATTTACTCCCTGGTCATGGAGCACAAGGAGGGCTGCATTGGGTGATTGAAGCAATTAGCCGGGCCATAAGTGTGGTTAACAGACACATAAATTACCCCACAAAGTCATTCAAATGTCCATTTTATGGTGACAGCACAAGCGTTCCTTAGAGCCATAGGGAAAATGTTAATTGAACCCTAATTAATCTGTTCTCATACTAGTTCTAATTTAGAGGAGGCTTTTAAGATTTTAGGCGGAATGGAGAATGACACATAATGTTCACTAGCAGTTTGAATCTTGCTTCTTTTCTGCTTTTCTGTCTATGCTGCTCTCACCAGGATGGAAAGCCTTTAATTGATCCTTTTGCCCAACGAGAAGCTGCAGGTGGAATCCTCAGGACGTATGTAATCATATTAAGATTTGAAATTAGTTTTTTATTCAAGCTTTGTTGAATTAGCTGTTATCATTCTGATCTATTAGGCAGGGACGTTGTTTATTTTTGTAAGAATACCCAAAGTATTTTTGGTGATCAAACTGAGGAATGAGTAGATACAGAATTGCTTGCAGGAGACTGATTGCCCCTTCCCTACCATTCCAAGATGCCCTGAGTCGGCTCTGTTTCTCTGTGAGATCTTGTGAATTTTTTCTTCCACAGTCAAAAGCTGAAAATTTAAAAATATGATTTATAATTTATGTCCTTCCTTTAACAGAGATTTTTGGAACTGAAAAAAATCCTGCACCATCCAACTAATTCTCAAAAAAAATAGTTCTTTCCCTTTGGCCAGTTAAAACACAAATGGTTCTTTGGGACGCCTGAGTGGCTCAGTGGGTTAAAGCCACTGCCTTTGGCTCAGGTCATGATCCCAGGGTCCTGGGATAGAGTCCCGCATCAGGCTCTCTGCTCAGTGGGGACCCTGCTTCCTCCTCTCTCTCTCTCTCTGCCTGCCTCTCTGCCTACTTGCGATCTCTGTCTGTCAAATAAATAAATAAAATCTTTAAACACACACACACACACACACACACCACACAGATGGTTCTGGAAAAGAGTCTTCAGTTAATTCGGGTTAATTAGTATATGGGCTATAACACAATATACAATTACAAATAACGTAGGGAATTTGAAGAATAAGGTTCCTTATTAGGAAATGTGAGTTTTAAAATGTCTGACCTATCACAAGTATGACTTCATACTTTTCATATATTTGTGCATTTTAGTTTGAAAAGTGGTCCTCAGCTCACTCATGATCTTTGTTGTTTTGATTTGCTATTGTCTGTGCTCTGCAGCACTTTACGACGATCTGGATAGATGTCCTGACCTGGGAGTTGAGAATTACGGCGTTTCCATGACAACCTTGAATGAAGTGTTCCTGAAACTGGAAGGGAAATCAGCTATTGATGAATCGGGTAAACAAAGTGCATGAGAGTGATCACATAACACAATTTACAACAATGCAGTATAGATTTCCATAAGACACAAGTCCTTTCCTGGACAGGGATGAGTAAAGCCAAAATGCATCCCTGTGACTTCTGTTACCTTTCCTGCCAGTATTGCCTTGTTATTAGAGGTGACTCATTTTCTTCTAAACAGGGCTCACTGCCTTCATCCTGCTTCCCAAGAGCAATTTCAGACAAAACATTGATTTTCAGTCTCTCTCTTCCAGCGTTCTGATTACGTCCTTTCATTGCCTGCTGGTCTCCCCAGTTTCTTTTTTTTATTATTATTTAATTTAATTTAATTTAATTTTTTGGTTAACATATAATGTATTATTTGCCCCAGGGTACAGGTCTGTGAATCATCAGGCTTACACATTTCACAGCACTGACTATAGCACACACCCTCCCCAATCTCCATAACCCAGCCACCCTATCCCTACTCCTCCCTCCCCGCAGAAACCCTCAGTTTGTTTTGTGAGATTAAGAGTCTCTTATGGTTTGTCTCCCTCCTCCCCACAACCCCCCGCCCTGCCTCTCAAATTACTCATATCAGTGATATCATATGATAATTATCTTTCTCTGATTGACTTATTCACTCAGCTTAATACCCTCTAGTTCTATCCACATTGTTGCAAATGGCCAGATATCATTTCTTTTGATGGCTGCATAGTATTCCATTGTATATATATACCACATCTTCTTTATCCATTCATCTGTTTATTGACAGCTAGGTTCTTTCTATAGTTTGGCTACTGTGGACATTGGTGCTATAAACATTCAGGATCACTACATTTGTATCTTTAGGGTAAATACCCAGTAGTGTAATTGCTGGTTTGTAGGGTAGCTCGATTTTCAGGTTTTTGAGGAACCTCCATGCTGTTTTCCAGAGTGGCTGCACCAGCTTGCATTTCCACCGACAGTGCAGGAGGGTTCCCCTTTCTCCACATCCTCACCAACATCTGTTGTTTCCTGGCTTGTTAATTTTAGCCATTCTGACCTGTGTGTGGTAGTATCTCATTGTGGTTTTGATTTGTATTTCCCTGATGCTGAGTGATGTGGGGCACTTTTTCATTGTGTCTGTTTGACCTCTCTGATTTCTGATGAGAAGTCAGCTTTAGATCTTATTGAAAATCTCTTGTGTATGATGTGTTGTTTTTCTCCTGCTGCTTTCCAGATTCTGTTTTTGTCCTTGACGTCTGACAGCTTGACCCTGATATCTTTAGGTGTTGATCTCCTTGCATTTATCCTGCTGGGAGTTTGGTGAGCTTTTTGTATGTGTGGTTTGTGTTTTTCATCAAATTTGAGAAGTTTTTAGCCATTAATTTTTCAACTATACTTTCTGACCCTTTCTCTCTCAACTCTCCTTCTGGAACTTCCATTAATGTACATGGTAGTGTATGTTAATATGCTTGATAATATCTCACATTTATCTGGGACTTCATTTTATTTTCATTCTTTTTTCCTTCTGTTCTTCAAACTTAATAATCTCAATTTATCTTTTGTCACATTCACTGATTTCTTTCTTCCGCCAGGAGATATTTGTTGAGCTTTTTTTTTTTCACTTTTTTTTATTATGTTAAGTTAGCCACTGTAGAATACATCATTAGTTTTTGACGTAGTGTTCAATGATTCACTAGTTGCATATAACACCCAGTGTTCATCACAAAACGTGCCCTCCTTAGTGCTCATCACCTGGTGACTCCATCCCCCAACCCCTCCTCCCCTCTGAAACCTTCAGTTTGTTTCCCAGAGTCCATAGTCTCTCATGGTTTGTCACCTTCTCCAATTTCTCCCCCTTCAGTTTTCCACCCCTTTGCCTATGGTTCTCTGTGCCATTCCTTATAGTTCATATATGAGTGAAACCATATAATTGTTTCTCTGCTTGACTTATTTGACTTAGCATAATTCCCTCCAGTTCCATCCATATCAGTGTAAATGGTAGATATTCATTCTTTCTGATGGCTGAGTAATATTCCATTGTATATATGAACTACATCTTTTTTTATCCATTCTTCTGTTGAAGAGCTTTAATTTTTTCAGTCAATTTTTAAAATCAGTTATTACACATTTCAACTCAAAAATTCCCAGTTTGTTATTTTAAATAAGTTTATACTTTTCATTACACACCCTATTTGATGACAGAGTATTGTAATACTTGGTGATTTCTAAATGTGTCGTTCAATGTACAAATATGTACAAATATGTGTGGATTTCCAAGATACAGTTATTGACATTAAAATCATATTCCAGCACAGGCAAAATTCTGGAGCTCTCTCTATGGGATACAAGCCCACTGCCCAATTTCTCAACAATAGCAGATTTCTCCCTGATTTTCAGCTTGCTATCATTTTTCTTGTTTATTTGGTTTTGGGGGGAGTTTCAGTTTTTCTACTCCTGGGAGGTAACCTGACTCTCCACTCTTGACCATAGCTCACCATGTTTTGGGAATCACTCCTCCTTACCACCCCATACTCTAAATTAGTCTGTCAATGCATGTATCCAGCCAAGATCTAGTCTCTCTTAGTCTGTCTTTCTCCACTCATTTGTCCGGTAGCCAGCCCCTACTGGATTTCCTTTACAAAGGAAAGGCCCATGTACCTTGATGATATCTTGCCCAAGACTCTATGGACCTGATATGTATCTTTCTTAGCTTTTCTTTACAATCTTCGGCTTTTGTTCCCAAGTATTTGGTGAAGTTCTCACGGGAAAGAATTGGTAAAAGGCGTGAACTCAGTTTGTGACTTGGGTACCAGGCCACATATGACCAGAAGAGTGTTTAATGCTCTCTCCTCATTCAAGTCTAAAGTTGTTCTTTCCTTCTTCTACTGTGCCCCTAACATGAAAACACCCATATGTATCATCTCCTCTAGGGATGGTTCTTCCCTTTATGAAAATTTTTATTATTATTTTGCTTTCTTTGTGCTTTCATTTATCTAATGGGTTAAAAATAGCAGGTATTATTCTCTTGGGAAGAGAGGTGACAGTCTCTGGGGCGCCTGGGGTCATGATGTGATTATGCATATTTGTCATAACCTCTTTAATGTACTGTCTGTATCCATATGATCTAAGGTCCCCTTTCTACTCCTTTTGTTCAAGACATGAAACTTCATTGATGTTTCTAGCTCATAGCAGCAGCCAATAGCTCCACATAACACTACAGTTTCACAGAAGATTGTGATATCGTTGCTAAAACATCTCCTACAGGAAGCTCCAGAAGGTCCATCTGAAGTGGGATTTTGTGAATTGCTTTTTTTTTTTTTCTTTTTGTATTTTGTAGATATGGCCACGTTGGGAGAAGCACAGGCAGAAAGAACTGAAGACACAGAGAGGCTTGTTGAGATGGAACAAGTTCTCAGTTCACTCAATGAGACGACAAAGACCATAGGGGGCCTGGTTCTCTGGAAACAGCAAATCTGCATGATTGCACGTGTTCGCTTCTTGAACTTAAAGCATGAATGGAAAGCTCTCTTATCTCTGTGAGTGTCCGAGGGCCACAGGTGGTTTTTCTTTTTTTTTTTTTTCCCCAGTCAATACATTAAAAAACAAATCTGAGATGTAAAATCAAGAGAAGATAATGAAAAAATTAAAATAAATATCTGCACCTACAAAAATGGATAAAGAATAATACCCCAGTTTGGTTAATGGTTTTGATGGTTATCTATTGGCAGTCTAGCAGGGGAAATTTATAACGTTTTTGGAGTGAATTTTCAGGAAAAAGTTTAAGTAATGTAGTTTTCCTGTGTTATTCCATCTCTTTCAAATTTTCTACTGGGTAGGTGACTGAAACAATGGGATGCGGATTTACATCCTGCAACCCCCCCCAACATATCCATATGCCCATGCCTTATTTTGAGTATTGTACAGTAATGCTCCTGACACTTCCCTGGATGTCCTGACGCTCCCACTGGGTTCCACTTGGTCTTACCTAAATGTCATGACTTCCCACCAGCTCTCCTAAGTGTTGCTAGTTCACTCTCCATACTTCCTTTCTTTTTTTTAGAGATTTTATTTATTTATTTGACAGAGAGAGATCACAAGTAAACAGAGAGGCAGGCAGAGAGAGATGGGGAAGCAGGCTTCTGCTGAGCAGAGAGCTCAATGCAGGGCTCAATCCCAGGACCTTGGGATCATGACCTGAGCTGAAGGCAGAGGCTTTAACCCACTGAGCCACCCAAGCACCCCCCATACTTCCTTTCTTTAAAAAAAAATATTTTATTTATTTATTTATATATCTGAGTGACAGAGCATGAGCAGGGGGAGTGACAGGCAGAGGGAGAAGCAAGATCCCCACTGAGCAAGGAGCCCGATGTGGGACTCAATTCTAGGACACTGGGATCATGACCTGAGCTGAAGGCAGATGCCTAACTGACAGAGCCATCCAGGCGGTCCCTCATTTCCCCATACTTCCTGTGTGCACACTGGCCACTATCCCTGCTCCTCCAAATCGCATCCCCTCTCATTGGCTCACTTGTGCCTGTGGCACTTTGGCTACCAATCAGTACCTCGTCTATGAATACTTTGATGAAGCATCAAAAAGATAGGAGACTTGTTAGCACATAATAGAGTCTCCATAAATACTCAAAAATAAGTAAGTAATGGGAATTCATTGAGAGCCTATGACAAGGAGATAGCATGATTTAAGAAAAACCTTTATTATTTATCTGGTAACCTTGTATAACTACGTCTGGAGAGATGCTGGGCATCTAGCAAGAATTCAAACAAGCTGTAACATTGTAAAACAAGAAATTACGAACAGAGAAAAGTTTTGAAGCAAGGTATAAGGATGGAACAATAAAAGTTTTCAACTGAGGGGTAACTGGGTGGCTCACTTGGTAAAGCATCTGACTCTTGGTTTTGGCTCAGGTCATGCTCTCATGTGGTCGAGAGATCAAGTCCTGTGTTGGGCTCTGTGTTCAGCAGGGAGTCTGCTTGGTGATTCTCTCTCTCTCCCTCTACTCCTCCCCACCCCATTCATGCCCTCTCTCTCTCTCTCTCAAATTAAAAAAAAATGTTTTTCAACTTCCTTGAAATGGTGACTACAAGAGAATAAAGAATAATTGAAAATTTGAGCTTGGTGACTAAAGAAATCCTGCTGTCACTAACAGAAATAGGGACTATCTGAAGAGGAGTAGTTGTGAAGAAAATTGAGTCCAGAGCATTGATGGATTAACTAGCAGGAAGGGAGAGCAAAGAACTGGAGTTTCAGGAGAGAAGACAAATCTGAACTGCAGGCACAGTTCAAGACACCTGCCCCTTGAAACTGTGTGGGATAAGCCATAGCCTGAGAGTAATAAGAGAAGTGAACCAAGGATAAGTCTCCATTTTGTCATCCTTAATCAAGAGGTGGGAAAAGGGCAGAAACTCAAGAAATGAATCAGAGAGCTCAATGTTTAATTTTCATAATCTCTTGATCTCATCACAGCATCATCTGCTCAGACAGTTCTGAAAGGTTCAGAAATGACTGTGCATTCATGCTGACCCTTTTCTTCTGGGTAGGCTCTTGATTCTAGGAGTTGGAATTTGCCCTCTTCTTTTGAGGACTATCCGCAACAGAATATATGAAATGAGCTACACTTGGGACCTTTCTCCTCATTTATACTTCCTTGCTCCTGGACAACAACCACGCGATCCTCTCACTCAATTACTGATCATCAATAAAACAGGTAATGATGGGGTGTGTACTCCATTCCTAAATGCATTCCCTGTTATGAGCATTACTTAAAAAACATAAAATGTGTGAGAGAAAAATGAGCTTTGGGCTTCTTCAGCATAAAACCACTCATGAGTCTTGAGGGTGATGAGTACAAGCCCAAAATGGAGAAGGACCTAGAGAGGGATTTGCTGAGGAGAAATAAATTTTTTGGTGGCTGTGTGCAAAATGAAATGCTTACAATTCAGTGGGTTTGAGTGTATTTCACAGAATTGTGTGACCATCGTTACAACTTATTTTAGGACATTTTCATCTCAAAAAAGAAATTTCATACTCACTAAGTACTCACTCCCATTCACTCTGTCCCCAGATCAGAGAAACCACAAGTTTTCTTTCTGTTTCCATGGATCTGCTACTCTGGACATTTAATATAAGTAAAATTATGCAATGTAGGATCTTTTATGACTGACCTCTTTCATGTAGTATGATGTTTTCAAGGTTCATCTATGTTGTAGCATGTTTCAATATTTAATTTTTTAATTGTGGAATAATATTCTTTCCTGGGACCATGCTACATTTTATTTATTATTCATCACTTGTTGGGTATATTCCCCCAGTAACTGGCTATTATGAATATTGCTGCTATGAAAGTCCAAGTTTTTGTATGAACATACTTTTTTTTTTTTTCATCTCTTTGGGGTATAAAAAACAGGAATGGAATTGTGGAGTCATATGGTGACTGTATTTAACCTTTTGAGGAACAACTAAACTCTTTTAAAGTGACTACCCAAATTTATTGTCATGCTAGCAGTTTGTGAAGATTCCAGTTTCTACACATTTTCACCCAAATTTGTTACTTCCTTTTTTGGTCATACCCCTTTTAGTGTGAATCAAGTAGTATCTTGTGGCTAGATTTGCATTTTGCTAGTAACTAGTGACCTTAGGCATCTTTTCATGTACATCTTTTCATTACTGACCATTGTATATCTATCTTTGGAGAAATGTCTTTTAAAATATGGGTTGTATGTCCTTTTTATTGAATCCTAAGTGTTCTTTATATATTCTAAATACCTGTCTCTTCTTAGATGCAATAGATCCTCACTATTTACAGATTCTGTATTTGCAAACTTATCTAGTAAGGAAAATTTATTTGTGACCCCGAAACCAATACTTGTGGCTCTTTCATAGTAAGTCACAGACATGCTCAGAGAAGTGAAAAATTGGAGTCAACTGATGCACAATTTCTAGCTGAGGTAAACAAGGTGATGGTGTGCCTTGTTGTTTCAGGTCTCACACTATACATAAATATCCTTTCTGTAGTCCATTTAGGGCCATGTTTTTCACATTTTCTTGCTTTTTTTGGGTGATTTTGCTGTTGAAAATGACCCCAAGAATAGGATCGAGGTGCTTTCCAGTGTCCCTAAATAGGGAAGGCTATGAGGTAACTTACAGAGAAAATATGTGTGTCAATAAACTTTGTTCAGGCATGAGTTATAGTGCCATTGGCTTTGAGATCAATGTTAATGAATCAACAATATATACACCAAAACATATAAAAATATGGTGATATATTGATTGATCAAAGAAACTCTTGTGACCAGAAGTTCACAGGAACCGAACCTTGTGTTTCTCTTCAGAGCAATAATTGAGAATTCACTAACTCCATGTTTGTGGTGATGTTAGAGAATATATGTACCATGAATAATAAGAATCAATGGCAAATATTTTGTGAATATTTCACCTCACCCTGTAGATTGCCTTTGCATTTTCTCATTGGTGTCCGTTGAAACATAATGTTTTAATTTTTATGAGGTCGAACTTGTTTTTTTCCCTTGCTTGTGCTTTTGGTGTCATATCTAAGTAAGCTTTACCTAACCCAAGATCACAAAGATTTACTTCTATATTTCCTTCTAAAGTTTTTATACTCTTAGTTCTTATATGTAGGTCTCTGATCCATTTTGAGTTAATTTTTTTGTATGGTGTGAGGAAGGGATTCAACTTCAATAGCTATCCAGTTATCTTCCTAGGAGGGTCTGGACACAAACCTTTCTCATTCCTTCCAGTCCCATGTTGCAGAAACTCCATCCCAGGCAGTGAGAGGTCTGGAGTTCTCTTCTTCCATCCATCCCCTACTCATAAGATGGAAGCTCTATCCTAGGCACAAGTTCTTGACTAGATCCAGTCAGAGTGGATCTTCTGTCATACTAATCAATGACAGGGAATGAAGGTATAGATTTTTTTACTCAAGTGCCATTTTCTTAGTGTTCTTACCCAGATTTATTAGATTTTCTTAAACAAATGTAGAGGTTTTTTTCTTTTTTCATTTTCTGTATGCCCTTAAGGCAGTCAGGAGATTTTAACTTATTGGATTTTTAGTGATTTTCACAAGTTATGGTTGCCTTTCTAGGGGAAAGTCCACAAACCTCTCCATGCCTTCACCCAACAAGTTGTCTTCCCAATTCAAGACACATTTTGAAAGTCAGTTAATAAGGTAGCAGTAGTAAAGTGAGATTTAGCAATTTTGGTGGTTAATTACTGGAGATTATCTGTGTCACTAAAACCTTAATTGTTATGGCCACTCAATGCAATATTCTAGGGGAAAACATCTATTCTAAATGCTGTATGGTGGTAAAAAAGACTTTCACCTTTCACATTAGTAGTAATCCGAAGCAAATAAATATATTATAAAGTAAATTGCATGACAAGTGAATAGACTTAATTCAAAGTTGCAAGTATGTTCTGATGTGGAAAAATATCCTGACCATATTACAGTAAGGATCACATAATGACATTAATTATAATTTTACTATACAACCTGGTATTGATTTTCTAAGTTTTGTGATATACCTATCTACAACTCAGGGGCAAGCATTGATGACTTTATACATTCTGTGGAGCATCAGAACATAGCTTTGGAAGTGGATGTATCTGGAACCAAAACTGGCCTGGATGACCCATCATATAATGGAGCCATCATTGTATCTGGTAATACAAAGGTATGCTGGTTTCTGTTTCATAATGTTTCCCAAAGGTGTGGAAAAGCTAATATAATACCAGTGTACTCAGTTCTCCCCTTTAAGAAATGAAATTAAAAACAAATACTGCTTTTATTACTTAATGAATGGTAGTCATTAATACGATGAATAATTCATACCTCAGTCATTGTCTACCAATACAAATGGCGTGTATTAGCAAAATAAATGCTATATAATACCCACTGTTAAGTGCATATTTGAGTCCAAAGAACTCAGATTTCCTCTCAGCGATTTTACTATACATATATTGTGAAACCTCTGTTTTATTCTTTTTTTTTTAAGATTTTATTTATTTATTTATTTATTTGACAGACAGAGATCACAAGTAGGCAGAGAGGCAGGCGGGGTTGGGGGGGGGGCAGGTGGAGCAGGCTCCCTGTTAAGCAGAGAACCCAATGCGGGGCTCGATCCCAGGACACTGGGATCATGACTTGAGCCGAAGGCAGAGGCTTAACCCACTGAGCCATCCAGGTGCCCCTGTTTTATTCTTTAACAGTAATAATTGATTCTAGCCTTAAGCCAGACATCTGGTGTCTTGAAAATAAGATACAGCCTACGTATATGTTTTGTTTTCCTTACACAGTGTGTGTTTTTTGCTTTGATTATTTGACATCATTTTAAAAACATGATCTTCTTGTTAAAATATTGAATTTTGGGGCACCTGGATGGTTTAGTTTTTAAGCATCTTCCTTCAGCTCAGGCCGGGATTCTAGGGTCCTGGGATCGAGTCCCGCATCAGGCTCCCTGCTCGGCAGGAGTCTGCTTCTCCCTCTCCCATTCCTCCTGCTTGTGTTCCCTCTCTCACTGTCTGTCAAATAAATAAATAAAATCTTAAAGAAAATAAATTGAATTTTGACCTCTTCAGAAAAAAAAGAAGATCTTTGAGAATTTATAACCTTTCTTTTTATATTTTAGAATTACAGTTTTTCATTAGCATGTAATACCAAAAGACTAAATTGCTTCCCAGTTCTTATGGATATCATTAGTAATGCACTACTTGGAATGATTATACCATCAGCACATATCCAAACTGACAGAAGTACCTTTATAATGGTAAGTATATTGACTCTCCTCCATCAGGATCTGGTAGAGATCACTCTTCTAAGTGCTGTGATCTATTATTACTGCATAATAAATTACCACTTGGATTCATGCTAGCTCCTGGTTTTGAAAAATCAATACACTTTTAGAGCTTCAATTTTTTAAATAATCTCTACACCCAACGTGGGGCTTGAACTCTCAACCACAAGATCAAGAGTCACATGCCCTACTAACTAACCCAGCCAAGTTCCCCTAGAGCTTCAAATTTTTAAATGCAAAACAGAACTAACAAAATATTTTTCAAAGAGAATGTGACAAAAATGAACTTATGGAGCACTGAACTGAGCACAAAAATAACAAAAGATGGAAGGAAGGAGGGAAGGGGGAGAGGTGGACAGAGAGGAAAAGAAATTGAAGTCTTATTAGTCCTTTTAGAAATGCTACAAAAGGAAAAAATTTAGGACAAAGTTCAGGCCAAAACTGCAGACTGGTTACATTAGAATTACTCCAATTTCTTGTAATAAATACTCATTATCTGAGCCAACTCTAGACCTACCAAACCAGCTTTTTCATACCTGGGGGAGGCAGTGGGGGCAGGGGGAGAAGCTCAGGTGATTAGATTATATACAGTCTTGTAAGTTTGGAAACCAGAATACCTATTAGAGTTTGTAACTATTCCTTTTTTATTATTTCCTAAATATATTTCTTCCTCTTAGAGAGTTCTTCGAACACAGAGACCATATATTTTTAATACTACAAAGTATTTTGTACCTGAGATAAGGCCTGGAACATGATAAGCGCTAAGTAATTTATTTGTTAAATGCATAAATGAATGTCAGAGGTCAGCAAATTATCTATATTCCATACCACTATAGGGTTTTATATATGGGCTTTATCTATGGCTAAGGACCACCTACCCATGTGTATATAAAACAAACCCACCATTATTTTTATACACTCCTGCAAGATCTTGAGTTAGTTTCTTACAACATATGTCAAGTCATGGTGTGTTCAGAAAATAAAAATCCCTTTCATTAAGAATGTGTAAGAAGCTAAATCATTAAAGCAAAAATTCTAATTCTCCATCAAGTATTAATTGATTTTAGAACCTATGCTATGGTTCATTTCATTAACCTCCTATCAGTTTTCTGGTTTCTAAGGGAGGATACAAACTGAGCAATGTGCCTTGAACTTCCATCTATGAACACATTCTGTTTTAGCAACAAGAAGTTTGACACCAGCCACTTTAATTAACCTTGTATTTAGGTGCCCAACATCAGAACTTTGATATTTCCAGCAACTCATTTCCTGTTCTATTTGAATTTACCTATTCACTACTCAAGTAATAGTCTTCCATAGCTTTAGACCTTGTGTCTGTCCTGCTCAAAGTCATGGGCTTACCACTGAGTACTGAACCCACACAGCCTGTAAGGTGTTCTGAAAAGGTCCTGTCAATAAGCCCAGATTTCACCTTCCCGTAATTAGCAAGCATTTCTCTCACGGTCAAGCTGAAGACGACCAGACTCTGCTTACAACTTTTTTCAGTAATCTGTGTAATCAAATACCACCTAGGTAGATCATGAAAGTAACATGGGAACTGCTTTCAGGAGAGTCTGTGAATCTTCCATCCTCAAAGGTTTTTCCAAACAGGAGCAACAAATGTGTGTAGCCAAGGTCAAAAGTTTTTCTTTGGAGATTTCACTTCCCCTTCTCGTACTGTACTTTATCTCTCCTTTTGAACCCTCGACCAGTGTTTATCTGATTTCATGGTATACCTAGACAGATACTGATCATCACTGTGCCCATAAAACATCTGATAGGATTTTTTGACTCAAGCTATCACATTTGAAATAATTAAATAGGAGTTAAAAATGGAATGTGAATGATCATTATTTATTGTTCACCGTAAGAAATGCATAACGTAAGAAAATGACAAATCTTACTCTTTTTTTAATTTTCCAACTCTGCCATATTATCAATTCATTCACCCTCTTTGAGTCATTTTCCTTACCCATGAATTGGGATAGAAAGCCAAGAGTTAAGCTTCAAATTTGGAACCAAAAATGGATAAGGAAAGAGTTTGGGAACCTCCACAGGGACTTAACGCAGGAGTGTATATCATTAGTTTAATATTTTCTTAAAACATATTCCAGAAAACAAATTTTGAATTTGTTATTCAGCTCATTGTATTGTATTCTTTGTATTTTCAGGACAGAGAGAGTAGTAGTGCATACGAGTTCCAACTATATACCATATTCTGGTTGATTTTGATATCCTCATGTTCTCCTTATATTGCCATGAGCAGCATTGATGATTATAAGGTAATAATGAAAACTTCATTACTTTGTACAGATAGAAGCTGAAGGTAATATAATTATAGGATTTTCCTTTGGGCTATTTATGCATGTTTAATAGAGCAGCCAACTCAGCAATAAGTCCTAAGATATAACGTGTTTGTTTTTTTTTTAAGATTTTATTTATCCATTTGAGAGAGAGAGAGAGTGAGAGAGAGCATGAGAGGGGAGAGGGTCAGAGGGAGAAGCAGAGTCCCCATGGAGCTGGGAGCCTGATGCAGGACTCGACCCCGGGACTCCAGGATCATGATCTGAGCCAAAGACAGTCGCTTAACCAACTGAGCCACCCAGGCATCCAACATTTTTTAAGTCTTTATAAATATATGGATAAATAAATAGATTACAGATAGAGAATGATTCTAAAATTTACATGGATAGGCACAGCCTAGAACAGACAAAATAACTTTGAAAAAGAAAAAACAATGTTGGGTGAGTTATGCTTCTGACTTCAAGGCTTACTACAAAGTTTTAGGAATGCAGAATGTGTTGTATTTATTTAGGAGAGTAATACGGGCATATGAAATGAAATAGACCACTTAGATATTACCAGTTGATTTTCAGTAAAATCAGGGAATTCAGCAAATTTTTCCAGAACAACCTGATATTGGTATATGAGGAATGAAAAATGTTCTCAATACTCACCTCATGCCATATACAAAATTATTTTGAAATAAATCGTAGGTTTTGTGGTAGGCAGTTATTTCCTAGATGGGACCAAATAAGCATATGCTTCAAAGAAAATGAGAACTTGAAACTCATCAAAGTTAAAACCTTTTACTCTTTGTAAAACACCAATAATAAAATTAAAAACTTTGCTGGGAGAAAAATATCCACAATGCTCATACATTTAACAAAAGCCTTATATCACGCTTGTGCTGGCAGCACAGAAACTAAAATTGGGAAGATATACAGAAGCATAACAGAGTCCCTATACAATGTCACCAAAATCTGTGAAGCGTACCATCTCAAAAAAATTATGTCAAGAATATAAAGAACTTTTAATAATGGAAGACAGCCTAAATTTAAAGATAGCCTAATTTTAATGAAATATAGCCTCAGTAATAAAAGGTAGCCTATTTTAAAGATGGGCAAAAATTTGAACAAACACTTCACCAAAGAAGATATACAGAAGGAAAATGTTCCCATAAAAAGATGGCTGATATCATGAGTAAGCAGGAAAATAGCCTCAGTGAAGTCCCTCTACTCATTTAAAGAAAATGAATAACATTAACATGACTGAAAATATCAAGTTTGTGAGGATGTGGAGACACTGGAACTCTTATGCTTTGTCAGCAAGATCGTAAAATGCACGATCACTTTGCTAAGCAATTTGGCTCTGTCTTATAAAGTTAAAAATACATGTATTATATGACCCAGAATTTCTCTCCTAAGTATTTACCTGGGAGAAAAGAAAACATCTTTCTGCACACAGACTGGTACCTTACCATTCTTGGTAGCTTTATTCATAATGGCCAAAAATCTGAGACAATCCCAATTTCCATCAAGCTGTGAACTGTTAAATAAATTCTTGTGTGGCCGTATCCTCATGTGATTTCATGTATGATTCCACATCATGGAATACTACTGAAGAGTACAAAAGAAGGAACAACTAAAAATGTGTCAGCATAGGTACGGCTCAACCATTAGACTGAGGGAATGAAGACAGCAAAGAGTAAATTCTGAATGATTTCATTTATAGAAAATTCTCAGAAAGGTAAAATAAATTCATAGTGACAGAAAGCAGACCTGTGGTTTCTTGCAACCGAGATAAAGGCTATTGACTGCAAAGGAGCATGGGAAATTGGGGGTGACAGGTCATGAAAATGCTCTATACTTTGATTAGGAGTGTGGTACAGGGATATATGCATTTGTCAAACCCCATACAACTGTATACTTAACAGGGATATTTTTCAAAATTACATTTCAAAAGTTAATGAGGAGCACCTGGGTGGTTCACTGGGTTAAAGCCTCTGCCTTCAGCTCAGGTCATGATCCCGGGATCATGGGATAGAGCCCCACATCAGGCTCTCTCCTCAGCAGGGAGTCTGCTTCCCCCTCTCTCTCTCTGCCTGCCCCTCTGCCTACTTGTGATGTCTGTCTGTCAAATAAATGAAATCTTTAAAAAAAAAAGATAACTGAAATAAAAGAAAATAGTATTTTGAAAATGGGACAACTCTGATAAAAGATAAATTTCAATGTTTAGCTGACAATCTGTTTATAATTTTCATTTACAGGTACTCTTTCAATAATCCCAATGAATTTTTAATGTATCTACAAGTATTTGGAGCACCTTGTAAGATGAAGATTCTGATTCAGTAGTTCTGGGTGGAGACAAATTTTGAGCGGCAGTCATAGGGTGCTGTACTTAGGACTAATCAACCCAGGCCAACTCGCATCAGCTTTATTTACAGATCTTAATAGAATATACTTTAATGGTTCCATTTTGGTAACTTCTACACAAAATGACCTTGCCTAACCATCTTTATCTGTTTGAAACTTCCTCCCTCTTTAAAGTAATTCTGTTGTCCAAAGGAAGGGAGTGCTATCAGAATAATATCCTCTTCTCTTTCTAGTGTAGAACCTCCAGGAATCTTGGGGAATGCTATTTGCTGGCCTGATGTAACTGTCAGCCATCCTACTGTTAACATAATCCTAATTTAAAAATGTCTCCCACAGGGAACGCCTGGGTGGCTCAGTTGGTTAAGCGTCTGTCTTCAGCTCAGATTGTGATCCCGAGGTCCTGGGATCAAGTCCTACATTAGGCTCCTTGCTCGGTGGGGAACCTGCTTCTTCCCATGCCTGCCCCTCCCCTTGCTTATTACCCTCTCTTTCTCTCTGGCAAATAAATAAGTAAGATCTTTAAGGAAAAAAAAAAAAGTCTCCCATAGGAAACACACACCACTTTCTTTCTCTGGCCTGTGTGATGCCTCAATTCCATCATGGTTCCAACACCCTGCCACTGTCTGTCTCCCTCTAGTGGAACATCTCATTCTTCCCCATTGTCTCTAAATTCTGGAACTCCTCAGACACCAGCCCTTAGCTCTCTCATCATGCTAGATGTCATTTTCTCCTCAGTAAGCTCATTGAACCTGAGGACTTGAAACTCCCTTTACCTAACCCATCACTCAGATTTGACTGCACCCCAGATCTCTAATTTCTAACATTCCCTCCAGGGTGATCTGAACTCCCTTCTCGGGGTCCCCACTGGGAGCAGCAATCACACACTCAAACGTCATGTCTCCAAAGCTGAATTTATGGTATTCTTGAATGTGGACCCCCTTCCATATTTCCTGCCTCCGTAGATGGCAGACCCAGGCAAGCAGGTGCTCTGTCAGTAACGTAAAATCACAATTCATCCCCCTCATGGCTTTACCCACAGATCAGTCCGGCACTAGAACCTTGTTAGACGTTGTGCGAACTGAACAAACCTGTGATGGGAGATTTGGATAAGTATCCTTAGGTCCGATTACATCTAAGACAGGAGCCTCATTTAGCTAATCAGAGACCACCAGCAAATGAATTTAACTATTTATAAGTAGTTAAGTAGTATTTTTAAGTAGTTGATAAGTAGTTTCAAAAAATGTAACTTAGGATGTTTTTCAGAGAATGACAAGGAATACAAAATGCATAATATTTATGAATGTAATACTATTTTATATATATATTTATTATATACAAACAGTGAGCACAAGTCTCTCCCCAAAGATGATATAGTTTATAAGTATAAAATACTATACTTTATATTCTACATAAATATATAATATAGTATGTATTCTTATATAATATTGCTTTATTATTGCTTATATAAAATTGCTTTATTCTCTTAATTATAAGTAAATGATGCATTGGGGTTGTTTTGGCATAACACACATTCAAATATTTATTAACCATCCAAATATTTATGCATATGTATATCAATATTATCACATGAATAAATATCATGTACTTTGTATTCCTTGTCATTCTCTGAATAAACATACCAAATCCCATATTTTAAAATTACTTATCAAGTGATATGGGGTATGGCACAAATTAAACAATTATAATAAACAATTAAACAATTTTGAATATACTTTTCTTTCAAAAATAGTTAAGTTCGGGGCACCTGGGTGGCTCAGTCAGTTAAGGGTCTGCCTTTGGTTCAGGTCATGATCACGGGGTACTGGGATCGAGCCCCACTTTGGGCTCCCTGATCAGTGGAGTCTGCTTCTCCCTCTGTCCCTCCACCACTCATGCGCTTTTTCTTTCTCTCGGTCTCTCAGATAAACAAATAAAATCTTTTAAAAAATAGTTAATTTGCTGATGGTCTCTGATTAGCCAAATGAGGCTCCTATCTGAGATGTAATTTGATTTACGTTCCTGTACATCATTCATCTCTCTATTGTTTACTGTCATTACACTTGGACCTTCCTTCACATTATCTCTACCAGGTGTGGGATGAACATCCATGCTGTTAACAAAGCAGCAAACTGATCATTTATGTTTGGGACTCTCCGTATCCCTTGGTCCAGCTGCTTATAGCATGATGCAGAATTATTACAAATGAAAATTTTGTTTGAATATTTCCTTCCATAAACCACATTTTCTGAAGCCTTAAGTTGAAATACCACTTTGTGTCTTCTCCGTTTTTTAATCAGAGCAAAGTTCAGTCCCAGCTGTGGATTTCGGGGCTCTTCCCTTCTGCGTACTGGTGTGGGCAGGCATTGGTGGACGTTCCAATGTACTCCTTGATCTTCCTTCTTATGTATTTGATGGACTACGGCTTAAACTTCGACAGCACTCTGTTCACACTTATAAGTGAGATTATACAAGTAAGTGACCATCTTCATAGAACAAATATCATTGTATGCTTTAATGAAAGCATTTGAAGGGGCAAACTGTTTGCCTTGATGTTTACATTGTTGCAAATCAAATCACTGTAGAACCTGGTGCTCTGACGATCTTTTGAACCCTAACGTTTTCTTAGATTGCATTTGTATTTAACTAAACATTCCTGTTGATTTCAGATCCTGTGTTCTTTTGGCTATGCTGCCTCCCTTATCTTCTTGACATATGTGATTTCATTCATTTTTCGCAAGGGGAAAAGAAATAGTGGCATTTGGTCTTTTTGCTTCTTTATGGTAAGTGTATTTCTTGTGAACATTCATTTTATGTATTTAAATAAACAATTCTGAGCCATTCCTTTAAAATGGGCCCTCAGTAGAATGAAAAATTAGTATTATAGTCTAAAATATCTTGTTTTCCTTATATGGGATCCTTTTCAAAATCTGCATCTTTTTCCTCTTCCTAATTTCTACCCTTGTCTCTTTTAAAAGTCACTGAATTGTTTCTACAACCAGAAAGTATTTGCTAGAAGGAAACCTGGAAACCATTTGTATCTTCTTTTTACTAAAAATGAATAAGCCCCAAGACCTCCACAAAGCCATGAGGATTACAAATATTGTTGCTAGCATAGTTAAAACTAGAAACTACTTCTCCATACTCTACTAAAATTAATTCCATAAAAGCAACACTTGTTTTATCTAAACTGGGAAGGAAAAATACGTGTCATCTCCTAGTATCTATTCTAATTTCCTGTCATTCCAGCAGCCAAGAAGTAAATTATCATTTCAACAAATATTCGTTGGCTTCCAACAATGTGTCACAAAGTAAGACCAATAACACAGAAAAAATAGTTTCAACCCTGAGAGGGAACTCAGAAGGTAAACATAAGTAAACAGCCACTTACTAAAGCAAAGTGGGAAGGAAAAGATTATCTCTTTTTCAGAGATTATTTCTATGACAACCAGAGTCGGGAAAGATTATTTTAGGAAAATGAGAGCACAGATTTGCTTGAGGAGTTGAAACCTGAAGAGTGAGATTTCAGTAGCTAGAGAAGACTGATGATTCTGTGCGTGAACAGAAACTCAGGGGAGAAAGTCCAGGTTTGTCCTGAGAACGGGTAATCATCTGGCATGGGTAAGGAGAGGAAAACGTACAGCGTGGGCGTGGTCCTAGTTATGGTAAAAATATTGGTTGGAACCATGTTGGCCTTTAATGATGCGCTCAAGAGGGGCGCCTGGGTGGCTCAGTGGGTTGAGCCTCTGCCTTCAGCTCAGGTCATGATCTCAGGGTCACGAGATCGAGCCCCGCATCAGACTCCACACGCAGTGGGGAGTGTGCTTGAGATTCTCTCTCTCTCTCTCTATGCCTTGCCACCACACCCTGCTCGCATGCTGTCTCTCTCTCAAATAAATAAATAAATAAATCTTAAAAAGAAAGAAAGAAATATACTTTTGGGAAGAATATGCTGAATGCCTTAAAAACAGTAATTTGTAACACAAAGAAGTACAAAGACTTTTAGGAAGCTTTTATCATTGCAGTGTTTTAGAAGAAAAAGTCTGAGAGCTACCGTTATCTCTGTAACTATCTCTTATCCCTGAATTTTGAATTTGAGAACTTCTACTGAAAGCCACTCCAGGCCGTTGCATGCTTTTGTTTCCCCACTGGTGTCCCTTATGGAAGTCTCCTCTCACTGTCGCCATTACATCATTCCCAGGAGATGTCCGTTTGTGTTCCCTTGGATTAGTGCTTCTCTACTAATTTTACCTCCAAAACCAATATAATGCCAACTTTCTTCCTTTTCTGTAATGAAAGTAAGCTATCTGTTAGATCCTAGATTTATCCCATCACGTCTCATTCATGACGTTCCCGGTTAAAGGAATCTAACTAAGTCACTGAGAGAACATGTCGATGGAGATACACTGATTGCCCTTGCGTTTCTGAGGTGGGAGTTGACATTAGGAATATCCTCAAGAAGAACCATCTCCATTTGGAGAGTAGGTGGAAATGCAGAGTGGTTAACACGCATGTCTGTATCTTCCTTAGATCTGCAGCATCTCTGTGTTTATATTGTTGTTTGAGAGCTATGAACATGTCACCCTGTACTGCATCACCTTTCTGGTACCACAAGCCACGTTAATTGGCTGTATGTTGTTATATTATCAGGTAGGTAATGCCACTGTCTGTTCCAGTATCCCGGAAACGCTTAACCAGTTGTGGAAGCTATGCTCGGCATTGGGGCGCTTCCCCATGCTGAATATACATGACATTTAAAGATGTCTACCTCATGGATGCCAGTTGAATTCCTCCCAGATAGGCAGTGTGTTCCAGTTAGAAGACCTGGTCCTGGTCCATGTGTGGGGAGACAAGGCAAAGGGCGGTCGGCAATAGAGCAGCCTTTCTACACTCCTGGGCATGCTCAGTTTTAGGAGGAGGCAAATGAAATATCACTAATCTTTGGGATCTCAAGATTCTAGAGAGGCTTTCAATAGGAATAAAATCCCCCTCCTCTTTTCTTCTAACTGATTGATAGAGAACTATCAACTTCTACAAACAAATAGAGATGTAAAAGTATAGACTTCTACAAAAGGAACAAAGATACAGTACATGAGTGACAATGGGGAAAGGGAGGGGAAAAAAAGAAAGGAGTTTTCTAAAGGATCAATGGGCATAGGAAGCTGTATGAAGTTCTGGGGGACAAAGAGAAACCCCCTTTCTCTCTGATTATTTGGAGAGGCTAACAGAGATGCCCAAGATTGTCTTACCAGGTAAGGCGTAATTGCTAAATCCTGTTGCTTCAAATGAAAGCACAGTGCCTCATCGACCTTGGGAGGAAGGAATACCACCACTTGCTACACATTTTGGAATGGGCATCTACCAATACCTGTGGTGAAATCAGGCAACGTGTTAGCAGAGCTGTCCAGTGGGTCAGTTCACATTCATATAGATAAAACTCATGAAACCAAAAAACTTCCTAATTTCACCATTCTTTTTCCTTTTGCAGGTGGCCATATTTTATTTCTCGACTGAAGAAGAATTACAAAGTATAGAGGCATTTCTGATAGTCTTAATTGTAAGAACACTCTTGTCTTTAACAATATTTGTGTTTTTACTCTACTGAATCTTAATTCCTGTACACACAGTGAAACTTTTTTTTATTAAGATAGACCTATGGATATTAAGATAGACCTATGGATAGACCATGGAGATAAAGTATTTGTAAAATATGCAACAAATTTTTCTCAAAGATTGACTGACCAGGTAATATGCTTCTCAATTTTTGAAAACACTGTACCAGTTTTGGAGGAAGTGACATAAAGTAATGGCATTCTATAATTAAATTTGTTTCCATTTTTCTGTAAACAAGATTGAAAATGAATTTGATAGTTTCACAATGTGACAAATAGATCATTGGAAATCCGTAATGGTTTTTTCAACTGTGTCTTTGGAGAAGTCTGACTTCTCCTATTTTACTTCCGACGTGAAACATTTTTCTCTGAGTGTTCCTGAACATGGATCTCTCTCTCTCTTTCTTCCCAGCCTTTCCTTCATTTTATCATCTTCCTTTTTATTCTTCGATGTCTGGAATGGAAGTTTGGAAAGAAATCAATGAAGAAGGATCCCTTCTTTCGGTTGGGAGAAATGAAATTTACTTCTTTTATTCCAATCATTAATGCTTAAAATATTTTTCATGCATGAATTAACCAATCAGTAAAGAACTGCCAAGTCCTGGGATAGACCGAGGTAGCCGCCATGCACCAATACCAAAAACAGAGGTCTAAGTATCTAAATCAAAGAGGATTTTAAGTACAGGGGGAAACAGACCCAAGACATTGAGTATTAAGGGCTTGGACACTATGTGCAGTAGAAGGGTGGGAAAAGCTACATGCCACTACTTCAGTTAAATAGCAACCCATTTAAGCAGATTGGCAGTTGAAGGAATGTTGTCAATCCAGGAAGGAAGAACGAGTGAGCAATGGACCAAAGACAGCAATAATTGTGATCTTTGCCTGTGTAGTAAGAAGCCCAACTTGTGGGTGGCAGACTGGTCCAGGTATTTATGGGACTTAAAAGCTGAGACTGTCTTTTTTGCACTGTGCGAGGATACGGCCATAAGCATCTTACTCCCTCTGGGTCGCCCATTGGTTTCATCTTTACCTGTTAGAGACAGTTGAGTGGGCAACTTCCAAGATGACCTTTAACTCTTTATCTATTCATCTTTAACCAAAAGTTAAAAATTAACAGACAGTTGAATGGGCAAGGCAAAATCTAAGATCAGTATGGGGGATTAGGTTGAGGTGAGAGAGAATAGAATATGTGTCTGAAGGACCAGAGGAGGAGAAAGCGAATCTGACACATATTTCCAAGAAATGGCCAGGTTTCACAGAGACCAAGCATCTGATTTGTATTTTCTGAGACCATCCTGACTTCAAAAATTCTGACTCATTATCCCCATGGGAATGTAATCATACCAACATGGCAGTGGTGTTAAAGCTAAGGTTTCCAGAAAAATCACATCATTCAACTCTGCTTTTAAAATCCTCTGTAGATCAGAGAAAGACAATGATCATATGATCTCCCTGATAGGAGGAAGTGGAGATGCAACGTGGGGAAATTGGGGGGTAGGAAAAGAATAAATGAAACAAGATGGGATCAGGAGGGAGACAAACCATAAGAGACTCTTAATCTCACAAAATAAACTGAGGGTTGCCAGGGAGAGGTGGGTAGGGAGAGGGTGGTAGGGTTATGGACATTGGGGAAGGTATGTGCTATGGTGAGTGCTGTGAGGTGTGTAAACCTGGCGATTCACAGACCTGTACCCGTGGGGCTAATACATTATATGTTTACTTAAAAAATTTAAAAATTATAATAAAAAAGATACAAATTAAATTTTTGGAAAGAAAAGGCAAAAAGAAAAATCCTCTGTTAGATAACAGATACTAAGTTGCCCAGTGAACATGGAAAAAGAATGTTCCACAGATAAGTAGGATGAAAGGTGTGTGTGAAGCAAGCAAGGGTCACTAAATATAGCAGTGACCTTGATAGGAACTAGGTCGGGAAGGGAGGATGAGTCACCTCACTGAAAGGAGGTTGTAATCTTTTACTAATTACCCAACCTACTCAAAGCATAAGATTTACAGAATGCAGTATTTTTTTAAAGATTTTATTTATTTATTTGAGAGAGAGAGAGAGCACAAGCAGGGGAAGGGGCAGAAGGAGAAGGAGAAGCAGACTCCCCACTGAGTAGGGATCCCAATGTGGGGCTCCACCCCAGGACCCTGGGATCATGACCTGAGCGGAAGGCAGATGTTTAACAGACTGAGCCACCCCCAAGAATGCAGTATTCTTAATACAAGGATGCCCCAAGAATGCAGTATGTCTAGCACAGGTGCCCCAAGAAGGCAGTATTCTTAATACAAGGATGAAAATGTCATATCAATGATTCATGAATGACTCTTGACTCTAGAATTTCTCCAAGAAGCTCCGATGTTTGTCAAAATCCAGAAGCTCCAGAAGGGGAAGATGAAGATGTTCAAATGGAAAGAATGAGAACAGCAGATGCCTTGAATTCCACAAACTTTGAGGAGGTAACACCTGTGAAGTCCTCATTTCATCAAATAACACAAATGTTTGTCAGTGAACGTAGTCGGTCTGAGAGTCTGATCCTCAAATAATTCTGAGTTCCTCTGGTCCATACAAGCACAGATCACGAGTTCCTTTTAGGAAGTCATCATCTTGTTTACATCAAAAAAAAACAGATTAAAAGTCTTGTCACCTCCATCTGTCGTTCTTGGAATATAAGCCAAAAAGTGGAGTACCACTGAAGTTGCAAAAGCCAAGAAAGAACTTTATTTTCTTTTTCAAAGATTTTATTTATTTATTTGAGACAGAGAGCACACAGGCAAGAGTTGAGGGGGTGGGGTGGGGGAGGGGAGGCAGAGCAGAGGGAGAGGGAGAAGCAGACTCTCTGCTGAGCTGGGAGTTTGAGGCGGGGCTCGATCCCAGGACCCTAAGCTGAAGGCAGATGCTTCACTGACTGAGCCAGCCAGGCGCCCCAAAACTTGTGAATTTTAGAATGGGAACAAAGTGACACATAGCACTGTTCCTTGGAGAATGGCACTGTATGGACAGCACAGCAAAGTCTAATTGCACCCAGTTGCCTTGTCTTTAGAGCAGGACTCAATACCTCTCCAAGTCTCTTTCCTCCTGTTCTGTACCAAATACTGTGCTTCTGAGTGACTGCCTTGGTAGGAGGGGAAAATGACCATCTCTTCTCTCCAAGTCTGAGGACCAGGACTGGAGAATGGTCAGGAAACGTGTCCCCTTGTGGAAGGTCTTCTGTGATGGCATGGCTTGGGCCATGAGGGGACATGCCAATGGAAAGACAGAGCTTCAAAGTTCATGGAGAGAATTAAAGTCTGATATGATTTTCTCATCACTTACAGAAACCGGTCATCATTGCCAGCTGCCTCCGCAAAGAGTATGCAGGGAAGAGGAAATGCTGCCTTTCCAAAAGGAAGAAGAAAATCGCCGCAAGAAATGTCTCTTTCTGTGTTAGAAAAGGTTTGACCCCCGTGGCCCTTCCCCTGTTGGCTTGGGGCCCTCATGAGCTTTATGTCTTGATGAAAATCATTTCATCACCTCCTAGTTTCACACACGGACCCAGCAGCACATGACCATCAGCAGCCCCCTTTACAGGTCCCATTTCTTTTATTTTTTTTTAAATATTTTATTTATTTATTTAAAAGAGAGAGAGAAAGGGCACAAGCAGGGTGAGCAGCAGGCAGAGGGAGAAGCAGGCTTCCCACTGAACAAGGATCCCAAAGTGGGGCTTGACCCCAGGACCCTGGGATCATAACCCGAGCCAAAGGCAGATGCTTAACCGACTGAGACACCCAGGTGTCCCTACATGTCCCATTTCTAAGTAAAATTAACCAGCTCACCCCATGGATGGGGCAGAGTGACATCTACATGGAAACCGCAAGCATTCTATTAAAACAAACCACTGAAGCCATGATGTTTCTATTTCACGGGCATGGCTGATTTCCTATTTTGTTCTATTCATAAGAGAATGAGCTGGGGTTGTACCAGCTCACTCGGAAGGCTTAAACAGCAGCTGTGAGATGACCTCACTCTGTGTCATTATTCCACGGTGTTTAGGGTCACAGGAGACAGAGTCTGACACGCTGGCTTCTAAGAGTGGCCTCACCCATTCCCGTCAGTGTGACGTGCAGCTAACCTCGTCTCTGAGAGCTGTCCCCGGATATGTACACAGGGGTTATGATAAGAATCTCCCAGGCTTGACGAGTCAATGAGATACCATATTTCCATATATAAAGCACAGAGCACAACACTTGCCACGTAGCAAGACCTCAGACAATGTTTTATTCTTAATTTTACTATTGAAGTCAATTCATATTAAGTGTAACCAATTTTTTTTTTCAGGTGAGGTTTTAGGATTATTAGGGCACAATGGCGCTGGTAAAAGCACATCCATTAAGATGATAACTGCAGACGCGAAACCAAGTGCTGGACAGGTAGGTGAGTTGTGTGGAGAATGTGCTAGCTCGGGGTGCTCAGAATAAACCTGTAAGGTGGGAAAACTTTGTAAAAAACAAATCTCATTTAATCATTAGATGAGAGAAGTAGTTAAAGTCGCAGAATAACACATTCACAAAATGAACATATTCATACATGGAAAAATTAATCACTGGCAAGGAATAATTACTTATGCCTTCAAAGACACCTAGAGAGAATGTTCGATATCTGATCAGAAATCAACATCAGAATCTATACAAGCTTTAGTTATCGTGCCATAAAACGCACGGATTTGCACTTTTTTTTCTTGGCAAACTATCTGTTTCCATGTGTTAACAGTGAGTGCAGTATAACACATTACATTTTTGGTTTTGATTTTTTTTTTTTTAATGGGAGTATAGTTGACCTACCGGATTTGTACTTTCAATGGACATTGTTTTCCCAGTATGTAATGCTTTAATTTTAAATTAAAATTAATTTAATTAAAATTTAAAAAAATAATTTAATTAAAAATTTTAAAGAAAACCTTTATTAAGCAATTGTATTCACAAAGTGCTTGGATACTGAGACATCTATTTTTGTAGAAAGACACTCTTTCTTGGGAGTGTTTTTAAGGAACGACTCAAAATTGAGCAACAGGGATATACATGAAGTCAACTTGAGTCATACATGCACTTGACCTGCAGAAGGAAAAGAGCTCAAATTTAGTAAAGAAAGAGACAACATCAGGTATAGAGAACATATTTCCCCCCAAACTCTGTGGCAAAAAATAGACAACTTGAAGAGCTCCTTCAGAAAGGATGTCCAGGGATTGTGGAACTCAGAATATAAGGCAGAGGTCTGTGGAAACACACCAGTGGAGATGCTGTGGTGTTCAAGCCAGAAGGGAAAAGACCTCCAGGAATGTGATTGACAAATATCCCACCAAAGAGGGAGGGGAAAATAAATCTTCACAACCTCTCCGAAGCCAAGATGGGAGCACGGGATGGTGAACGGGGACACTCAGGGATGTTGGTGGCTCACTCAGACCTAACTGAGCTCAGTGGAGACCACGCTCTAATTCAATCACCATCTGGACCCTAAATCATTATTTTATTTCTCATTCAGCATGCTCCCCCCCCCAAAAAAGGGTGTAACTGTTCACAGATATATGGTAATGAACTATTTTAAAAGGTAAGTAAGATCTGAGTTAACAAAGTGAACTCTGGGTGTCATGAAACTAGCTTTAATCAGATCAGCAGTTTGTGATCTTTATAAACAATGTCATTGTCCTACTTATCAATATTTTCAACAACCTCTTACTGTACTAAGGCTGAAGTACCCCCCTTTCCCACAACCCCTGGCTCGTCCCAAGGAGCCGATTGTCACATCCCTTCCTCAGTGCTGAGCCGGGCCTCCAGCTTTGCCTTGGGTCTAAGAACAGATGGAGCTTCTTCACAACACAGGGCTTTGCTCTGCTCCAAATTCCTTTCCTCTGGGCTTTTTCCATGGCAGGTGCCCTGTCCCTCCAGTGGTCCCTCAGCGGAAGGGCCCTTTCTGATCATCCTACTGGGTGATGTTAGTTAGTCCCCGCCCCCAGCATCCTGCTGGTCCCGCCCCATCCTGGCTACTTCCCTTACAGCATCACTTAGGAGCTGTCTGTATTCCAGCCGCTCATTTTCCTACTTGTTTATTGCCCGGTTTGCTCAGCAGAATGAAAACTCGCAAGGAACAAGGGTGCTGGCTATTCCATTCCCATTGCATCCAGAGCAGACAGCGCATTTGTTAACGTGCTCAAAAAGCATGTACTCACTGAGTGCATTCAATAGTGAGGAATTACGTTCATAAATCCATAGACTTGTTTCCTGACTGTGATTTTGAAAAATGGATATAATCTGTTGACTGCGATGGTAAGACATATTTGCAAGATACTTGATTTTTCAGCTTAGATTAGAGGGTGCACACACATTTGTTTTCATGTGTTCACTCTCTGACAACCTCCCTCCAGCAAGAATGATTATAGATTACTGAACCCAATTAGGACTTAAAGAATCTCTAGTTTTTCTAGGTTTGTAAGGAGAAAGAGGCCGCTGAGAAGTGCAGGGCAAACAAACCCAGATGGCAGGGCCTGGGAGTGAACTTTTCTCTGCAGGTGCTACTAAAAGGCAATGGGGAGGGCTCCCCAGGCTTCCTGGGGTACTGTCCCCAGGAGAACGTGCTGTGGCCCAATCTGACTGTGAAGGAGCACCTGGAGGTGTTTGCTGCCATCAAAGGGCTGAGGAAAGTGGATGCAGCAGTCACCATCGCCAGGTGGGTGGGAGTCACACCTGTTCTCTACCTACAGGGGCGGGCGATGGTTGGGGGTGAGGAGCTTCACCGCCGGTCCAGGACAGGAGACTGAATTCTGACCCAGATCACATTGCGTAGATTCCCCGCTAGAAACTGGTTTCCCGGACTTCAGAGTGTTAATTTTCTTCTCATAGTAAATATAAAAATAGTAACCACTGGTGAAAGTTATCAAAAATCCTAAAATTTAAGTATAAGGTATTTATCAAAGAACTATTTAGAAATCATGAAATGGGCTTTGAGTCTTTTAAAAGGAAAAGCTATCCATCTGGAGGGATCAGACCAGCCTGTTTAAGATTGCCTGGAATTGGGGCACCTGGGTGGCTCAGTCGGTTAAGCATCTGCCTTTCTCTGTGGTCATGATCTGGGATCCAGCCCCACGTTGCGCTCCCTGCTCAGCGGGCAGTCTGCTCCTCCCTCTCCCTCTGTCCCATGCTCTCTCTCTCTCGCTCTCTCTCAAGTAAATAAATAAAACTTTTTTTTAATTGCCTGGCATCTATTTTCCAAACTGCATTTCTGAGCTCTGCTCCCCATCCCTGTGCTGCGGGATCCGCCCTCCCGCCCGCTTCCTTGCTGTAAAGCTCCACTGTGTCTCCTCCAGGTTGGCGGATGCGCTCAAGCTGCAGGACCAGCTGAAGCAGCCCGTGAAGGCTTTATCCGAGGGAATAAAGAGGAAGGTAAGAGGGGGCCTCAGCGTTACTCTGCGCACCCCAGGTCGGTGCCAGACTCACTGTCCCTCTCGTTGCAGCTCTGCTTCGCGCTAAGCATCCTGGGAAACCCGTCGGTGGTGCTTCTGGACGAGCCCTCCACCGGCATGGACCCCGAGGGGCAGCAGCAAATGTGGTGAGGGGCTCTACCCAGTCACGCCCGGCCCCCACGCCTTGCAGGAAATTTGTGAATTGTTTTACTTGTGTAAAAATGGTCCCTTAAACTGTTTCTTAATGGGGGAGTGGCAGGGAGACCACCTCTCAGGATCATTAGTACTGTACATAGTACAATATTTTGCAAAACAAGCCCAAACCGTCTCCCTGGTAATATTTCACCATTGAACTAAAAGCAAGTATTGGCAGGACCCAGACACACTCACTGTCAGTAGGGCTATGTATTTTCTCCTACTAGGTTGTTACACCTCGGTGGTTGAATTCTGTCTCTCTGTTCCTTGGCACAGCCCTTTCATTACCAATCTCTCGTTCAGCATTTCTCTCTCAACACAGCCTCGTGAGAAACTCCGTGTTCTGTGACGGCTTCCCCAGTGCTTGTCTCCCCTCCACCCGCCCTCACCTGGCTCACCTTTCCTCATCCACCTGCCCGCTCTCAAAGGTCGTCCTTTGCTTGAGCTCCTTTTGCTCATTACTCACAATGCATCCCGGTTAAAAATTCTTTTCTCCACCCATTTGTGATTAATTAGAAGGCTTTCTTAATTGCAAATGGTCTTTCGACGATGTAGGCAGGCGATCCGGGCCACCGTTAAAGACACAGAGAGGGGTGCCCTCCTGACGACCCACTACATGGCAGAGGCTGAGGCTGTGTGTGACCGCGTAGCCATCATGGTTTCCGGGAAGCTGAGGTGGGTGCCCGTCCCCGCCTACACTTGCCCCCTCCCCCCCAATCCTCCCATCCCCCCAAGTTCCCCCACCCCACTCCCCACACAGGTGCATGGCAGGAAGAGTTTGTGCCCAGTGAGGCTATGGCTGCTGCATCTGGGTCTAACAGTGACACCCTGGAGACAACCCTCACAGCAAGAGTCTCAAACATTGTGTGCCCTGTCTCTTTCCCCTCTCGGTGACAACCACATCCTCCTGGACCTTCAGATGTATTGGTTCCATCCAACACCTAAAGAGTAAATTTGGCAAGAATTACCTGCTGGAGATGAAGGTGAAGACCCTGGGACAGAGGGAGAGCCTCCATCAGGAAATTCTGAGGGTTTTTCCCCAGGCTGCGCGGCAGGAAAGGTAAAGATGGATGCTGGGTTTGATCTGATACTTAATGTCAACTTTTCCTTGTGGGTTTCATGCATTTGTCCTCAGTAGAGTGCACATTTAGCCCAAAAGGAAACCTAAAAGATATGGATACTGCAGAAACTAAATTAAAGAGGGGAGCTGATGGAAAATCAAGGGTAACATGTGTTGCGTTCCTACTAGCTGCCTGGTCTCATGCTATCTTGTTTAATCCTCACTGACTTTCCAAGGTAGATACTGTTTTTCCAGTGAAAGATGAGATTATTTCAAAAAAAAAAAAAAAAGCATTATGGGAGTCTGGACCCTACAAGGACCTTAATAAATGGAATTGGCTGTTATCTTTAAGCATAGGAAACTGAGAAGTTAGGTCACATGACAAAGCTAACCAGGGGCATAGGTAGGACAGAAAGCTAATTATTTTATTTCAAATCTATTGACATGTCCAATTTTATACACAGTCTGGTCATGGGGTAGTTCTCAGGAAAATCAAACAATAAAAATCAAAGATCAATTTTAGGATCATTTTTAACATCTAGAATTTACTGTAGAAGACATATGATGTAGGAGTTAGAGGAGAAAACAGAAAAGAGTAATAAGAAGTCATAATGATATGGTGGGAAAATATATTTCCACATGGAGTATAACTATCGAAACCATAGTATACCTCAGTGCACAGCCCACGACTGAACAGAAATAGGTCATAAAGGCACAGGGAGTAGCAGAACAGATGAGAATGATCACCCCATACATGGAGGAAATAGTATTTGATGAAATGAAATCAAAATCTTCCTGATTTTCAAATGATAAAAGGACAACTATTAATCTGGGAAACAAATTCTTTTTAAAAACTTGTTGCTGAACATTATTTGGTGCTGAATTCCTGGCGATTTCCAGTCCTCATCAGAGACTCAACAATATCGTTCTAAATTAGGAAAGTAGTTGGAGTAGCATGGGACCAGTTTGGAGAGGTAAGGTTCTCTGGAGAAAAGACTTAGACCGCACCTGACCTGAGTGACTTTAAGAAACAACGGGGCTTCAGTCCCTGGTGGAAGATGAAGCTGGAGAAGCAAGTGTTCAGCTGAAAAGAGAAGGTGGCAAGCAACTTTGGCAAGGGTCCATGTTTCGTCTGCACCATATATGCCCTCTCCATCCCAGGAGCCAAGGACAGGAGCCTCTCCCATCCCTGGGATCTCCTTGTGAACCGCCTCACCCTGGGCATTTCACCTGCCCCACACTGACTCTTCTTTACCAGGATAACGACCAGAGACAGGATGGCAGCCCGCTTGTCCCTGCGCGGGGCGGCATCAGCCTCAGTCCTGTTCCTCTCCCCATAGGTACTCCTCTGTGATGGTCTATAAACTCCCAGTGGAAGACGTGCAACCTTTAGCACAAGCTTTCTTCACGTTAGAGAAGGGTAAGAGCCATAAACTTGGAAATAAATCCCGGAAAGCAGATAATTCCAGATCATAGACTAATCCATCAGCCTGACAGAAATGGAATGTGAGCTCAGGTGTTCATTGTAAAGATTTTATCTATTTATTTATTTTAAGAGAGAGAGAGAGAGCATGAGGGGGCAGAGGGTCAGAGGGAGAGGGAGAGAATCTCAGGCAGACGCCTCCAGAGCACAGAGCCGACATGGGGCTCCATCTCACGACCCTGAGATCCTGACCCGAGTTGAATTCAAGAGTCAGATCCTTAACTGACTGAGCCACCCAGGCACCTCTAAGGTGTTAATTTTTAAAGTTAAAAATCTCCAGTTGAATTTTAGGGACACAAAAATCAATGTTGGGGTGTTGATGGGCAGAGGGGTAATGGGAATGATTTTACTTTTGCTTGGTGGGGGTTTTCCATATAGATATATGTATTATCTATATATTATATGTATTATCTATATATATATACATATAGGTATATGTATATATATATTTCCATATATCTATATGGAAAACCTGTCAAAATTCAGTCCTGTAAGCATTCAAAGAGGATACTTTCTTTGGGAACATTGATGCATGATGCGTATTTACAATTTAATTTTATAGGGACTTGTATATTACTTTATGGCTTTAGGCTGTGTATGAAGAAACTGGCCTCCTGTCTAGTCATTGAAACAATCTTCCTGTGTCTGTTGCATTTCACATCTGACCACACTATGTCTGTCATCTCGGCTTCATGTTTGTCTTGCCACCTGAACCCATTAACTCTGCCTCTCTGAACTGTGCTGGCCAGAACTCCCTCCCTCTACGTTCTTTCCATTGTCATGACTCAATGATCTTTCTCCTTGCTTGTCACCTTCCCTGGGGAAGAGATTCAGGTCTCCTGGTTCTAGAAGACTCTTTGTACTCCTGCCAACAGCATTCATGGTCACAGTGACACCCTGTTGCCATTCTCTGGGCCAAGCACCCCAACTTTCTAGACCATGTGATCATGCCAACACTCCCCAGATTGGCACTGTGACCAGTACTGGCCTGGTACTGTTGGTGACATATCCAAGCTGCGGCCTCCTATCAGGGCTATGACTACCCTTCCCATCTATTCTGGTCAAGGAGAACGGTTTTCAGCTCAGTTAGGAGCAAGCGGTCACCATGGCAAGAGGGTCGCAAAGGATATCTGCTCCCCAGGAAACCTCAGACATCTTTCTCCATAATCTTCTGGGGCTTCCCTTTGCAAAACGTGTCTTCCTCCCCCCTTACCTGAATGCGCAGAAGAACTGGGTCACATACATGTACTGGGAAGGAAACCTTTCAGCACTGTCTTCTCCTTAAATAGAAATCTCTAACACAGGGGCGCCTGGGTGGCTCACTGAGATAAGCCTCTTCCTTTGGCTCAGGTCATGATCCCAGGGTCCCGGGATCGAGCCCCACATCGGACTCTCTGCTCAGTGGGGAGACTGCTTCCTCCCCTCTATCTGCCTGCCACTATGCCTACTTGTGATCTCCCTCTGTGTCGAATAAATAAATAAAATCTAAAAAAAAGGAAAAAAGAAAGAAAGAAAAGAGACCTCTCCAACACTGTGCTAAATGAGCATAGCATACGTACTTTCCTCCCCAAACCCACATGAATGCATGAGTGTATTTCGAACTGCATTGCCATACTTAAAGCAGGAACATCTTTACCTAAACTTTTTTATTTAAAATGTTTTTAAAAATTGCTGTTTGTACGGTATGCTGACTTCTAAGGCCATCTGGGTATAAAAATAGTTGAACTCCTAATGTCCGTCTGTCTTTCTGCAGTTAAACAGAGCTTCGACCTGGAGGAGTACAGCCTCTCCCAGTCCACCCTGGAGCAGGTGGGTCGGTGTGAGTGACTCTGTTTCATCCGTGCACTATAAAGGGACACCGTGTGCATACGCCTTGCACTCACTCAGAGCGACAGAAGGCAGTGTGACCTCTCTCTCTCTTCATTTCTTGTCCATCTCAGGTTTTCCTGGAGCTTTCGAAGGAGCAGGAGCTGGACGACTTTGATGAAGAACTTGACCCTTCAGTGAAGTGGAAGCTTCTCCCACAGGAAGACCCTTGAAACTCCAAATAGCCTATGTTTCCATTCAAGCCTGTGGTTGTTTTTGAAGACCTCTATTTTTACAGCATTAATGTCATATTTTCAGAGTTATATTATATTATAAACGCTGACATTGTTCTTCCTGTAGTGGACAATAGGAGCAAGGGCTGGGCAATTGCAGCCACCATGTAGACAGAGGTCCGTGGCTTAGCCCACCTCCCAGTCACTACATCTGTGTCTCTGCGGGTCTCCCTGATTCCACTTTTCTGAAAACCTTAAAATACTTTTTTCTAACCTAGGCTCAGAAGTCCATACATTTATTCTTCTACAAGTTTGATACTCGGTGAAGCTACTATTTTAGTAAGAACTTTAAAGGACTGTGTCAAAAACATCATACTTTTTAAAATGGATTTCCATGTATATTCTTATGGCTAAAAATATTATGCAATCCTTGACCATAATATCTGATATCAATATATTTGAAAACATATCTGCTGGTAACATTATCAATAATAGTCTGATACTTGCCATTAGGAATTTATTGTACTTTTTAAACTTGTGTGAGTCAATGAAATCCCACTTTCATTGTGTTTTAAAATCAAGGTTTTAGAGTTGCCTGTTTTTTTTAACTGATCTTTTGTGGGTATTTTCTACTTGGTCTAAGAATATTGATCCATATAGTAACAAGTCAAATGATGAAGTTGGTGGGAAATATATGTGCAGTTTTGAAATACATTTTCCATTTCAGGTATTTTCACGTGTCTTTTTCTTGACAAAGTGGCCTCCCTATTCACAAATTCATTGAAATGAAATTGAAAAAAGTTCTGATATAACAGCTAGTTCACTGCTTTCATCAACATATTGCCAAATGTAAAGAAAGAAAAAAAAAAATACCACAGATGATTAAGGAAGTTAAAGGTGGTGGCAAACAGACATTTCCTGGAACAATGTTGCTTTTTGTTTTTTGTTTTTGTTTTTATTTTCCAAAAAGTACAGGGTGTGATTACCAGGCATAAAGTGTAGACAAAATTTTCTGAGTGGTGGAGATGATTCCCTGAGCAGATTCCCTCCCACCCCAGTTCTGACTTTACCTGTCCTTTCTTCCCTTTGGAATCCCTGACCCTCTCAGACTCCAGTAATTTTTAGCAGTTCAGAAAATTCTGTTCTGGAAAGCTCGCCTCCCACACTCATTTCCCAAGTTCCCTTTGTTCATCTTGTGCTGGCGTGTGGTATGTGCCCACAGGCTGGTTTGTGCAAGCAAACCCTGACTGCCCTTTTAATCGCTACCTTGAGAGGGTAGGGATCCCCTTCTCCTTCTGGATTCCCATCAAGCAGAGTGTACAAAAGAACATGCTGTTCAGCGTTCAGTGAGGTCCAGGGTTCTGGGGGTGGCCAACCTGGAGGGGCTCCTTTGCAACGAAGACTATCCAGACGGCAGGCTTTGCTCTCCTGGGAACACTGCCCATGCAAGAAGGGAAGAAGCTACAGGAGCACAGCTGCGAAGTGGGTTCTATGCTCCACAGTGTCGCTGCTGGTAGATCCCCGTGGCGGATGCTCTGTCCAGCTGCCGCTCCTGGATGCCCAGTGCGTAAGCTCCCACCAATAAACCCGCATCTCCATCGACATCTTGGGTCATTTCTTCATTCTCTCTGGGCCATCACCCTTGCTTGGCTTAGAGTCTGCATGGTTGGGGGACGCAGCTAAGAACAAAAATATGAGCAAAACTCAGTTCAGCGACTGTTGCTGGGTGACACAGTGTTCAGAGTCTGGTGTCTAACATTTACTACCTGTGCACATCTAGTTTACTGTCCCCAGCATGGAGCTACTAGTACCCACCTCCAAGGATTACCGCGACAACCCAAAGCGACAAACGCAGTAACAGCGTCAGCTGCTGTCCAGCTGTAAACAGCATCAGTGACTCCAAGAAGCTCTTGCCTGCCCTGATGGCTCCCTCTCGCTCCTATAGGCCCTCTGTTCTCAAGGACGCATCAGCATGGACCTGTTTCACCTCATTTCCGAAGGGCCAGCCCAGGTATCTGTAAATAACACCAAACAGACTTATTTTCAGGCACAAGCCATGTTTCCTTGACATCCTACACCTGGTTGAAAAATAAAGATATTGGTCCATTAGCAGGGGTATTGTTTCTACCAAGCCAATCAATTAACTTTAATTGAATGTTTCCCTTGAATACTATTTTGTTGGCTCTCTACATAGCCAAAAGAAAGGCAAAACAAACAAACAAGCTGTAGAAGACTTCACATCACAACCCAAAGAAATCATACAAAGTAGCTGTGTTTTCTTCTTTGAAGTTATCTGAGAGGTCAGTGAGAGAGACCTCTCGAAGGATGAAGGAGAGAAATTTCTGAAGGATGAAGGAGAGAAATTCCTGAAGGAATTTCAGCACTAAGCAGCTTTTCACTCAACCTGTGGATCCATCCAACCTTGACGTTACAGACAACCAGCGCTGTGGACCAATGAAAGGGACAGTGTGTCAAACCTGAACTTAAGATTTGTACTTTCTCCTTTGCCAGGAAAAGCCAGCTGGCTCTTCATGTGGCTTCATGTGGGGCCAACATCTGGGGTTGTCTTCACCTGACACACCTGCAGAGGACATCTGCTGTTTTACATGCCACTCAGAGCGTGGTGAAGCATGAAATGATGGTGACCCTGTGGCAGATGTTAACACTTCTGAGGTCGGTGGGGAAACCGGAAACTACAAGCGCAGACTAGCTCTGTGGGTTTTACCCCCAACCTGGAAGAGCCCATTATATGTGCAGACCATGGAAGACAAGGAGCATTACTGTGCTAGAAACAAATCATTCTGCTTCTTATGGTCCATCTTACTCTACCGATCCCTTTCCTTCTCATCTCGCTGGTAGCCTATAACATCCTTCTGACTTCCTTTGTTTTTTTTTTTTGTTGTTGTTGTTGTTGTTGTTGTTGTTGTTCGTTTTGTCTTTCCTTTGGTTGTGTAGAGATACAGCAAAATACTATTCAAGGGAAACATTCAATTAAAGTGAATTCATTGGCTTGGTAGAAACAATACCCCAGCTAATGGACCAATATCTTCAGTTTTCAACCAAATGTTGAAGACATGGCTTGTGTCCCCCTATCCCCAACTCTGTTTTATTCTGATTTCTGTGTTTGATTCCTTTCCAGCCCACTTGTTGGTTTCCCCTTCCTTCTATCCAGATCTACACCATTTTCAGAGCCTTTCCTAAAATGTTGAAGTAAAACTGTGGGGAAGAGTTTTTCCCACAATTGAAAAAAAAAAAAATGCACAGTCTTCCAAGATCCCAGAGAGGTCAAGTATTACATTATGTTGAATAACAAATGCTGAAGACATCGGGAAAATTATGCAATGACTTTAAGATGGTGGGAACCAAGTGTCTCAGGAGATATCCTTTGTCTACTTCATCCAAGAAGAACATGCACAGCTGTGTAAGACTTGAAGGGCTAATTAAGTACCAATCACATCACATAGAGGAAATGCAACATTTTGAAGGGGGGAGGCTTAATACTCTATACTCTATAAATTCCAAAATGGCCTTATGATCTTCTGGTGATTTAAAACTTGTGTCTTCTTCCTGCTCCTTACTTCTTTTTCCAAGAAAAAGAAAAATGCACCACATCTAAATTAACTAGAGATTCTAGAGTTGAGGTCTTAACCCCTGGAAGCCTGAGTGATCTAAGTCTCACTTTGGGGATTGAGAGGTAGCTTGTACTCAGGTTCTAGAGAGGCCGGTGCTGCTCTGCTTCACCAGTCAGAGCACTCATGAGGACAGACCATGAAAAATGCCAAGAATTCTTATTATCCTGGTGAGTTGAAATCTGACTCCCTGGACTGGTTGGGGTTGCCCTGAAATGAAGGAGAGGAGAAAATTCCAGCCTCTACAATACTGGAAAGTGCCCTGGAAGGAGGGTGGAATAGATGCTGGAGTTTAATGTATCAAATGCAAGGAGACACTCCAAGAAAGCAAGACAAATAAGTGAGCGAGAGTAACTGGGGGCTACTTTAGATTGGGTGGTCAGGGTGATAGTTTAGAAGAGGAGGCATTTGAGCTGAGGCCTGAAGGACAATCAGGAGCCAAGCATGGGAATGTCTGAGGGAAGGAAGTTTTGGCAGAGGGAAAAGTAGATGCAAAGGTCCTGAGGTAGGAACAACTGCTGGGGATTCCTGTCCCTTCAAAAGTCCTTCTAGCTGGATGAAGAGTCAAATTGACAAGAGACAGAGTCACAGGAGAAAATCAAATTTAATAGGCATACATATAGGGAAATGGTCCTTGAATGGTCCAAGCCAACACCCCAAGTGACATTTCCAGCTAAAAACAAAGACAGGGAGATTTCCCTTGAAAATGTAAATTTCCCTTCCAAAAGGGTAACTTCTACTTGGTTTTCAGAGCTTCTCCTATGTCTGCTGTTTCTTAAAAATAAGCAGTTCAAAATAATCCCTATGCCAAAGAAGCATGTTTTGGAATGGTTTATTTTCCTCCCCAACAAAAGGAAAGGGCCATGTTTCACTTGTCTTTGTATCCCCAGATCCCAGTACATACTACACAATCCGGAAATGTCAGGTGAGTACTCTGAGAAGTGGAGAATATCTGAAAGAGTAAGGGGAAAATTATCTGAGACAGATTGTTCTTACTTCAACATAAGGTATGTGGCTGAAAATAACATGAACATTGCTGGACCAAAGGACAATGGGCATTTGAGCAACAGTGACTGATTCTTCTAATTACAATCTGTGAGCTTCTGAGATCCCACCCGCCGCCAATAACACTTGAAAATTAAATTGAAATAGAAAAAAATTACCAATGAAAACCAAAAAATTAATGGCTAGGAATATAGATCAAAGTTGAGAAAGGTGGTTTGCTTCTTTCAAGATGAAAAATAACATGACATGTAATCAACTGTCCTAGAGGTCTTCTCATTCATTTCTTCAATAAATAGGTACTTAGGAACTCTTTCTGTGCCAAACACCAACACACTTACAGGAATGGCAAAATAAGGCAAACACTATCAGGAAGGGGAGGGAAGAGGACTTGTGTTAATTAATCATCATCTCTATACAGACATTCAGACTACAATCTTAAAAGGATAATTATTATCACTTCATAGTAAGAAAACTGA